TGAAACATTACATTAATTTTGACACATATGCCAATCCATTTATTTTTAAACTATTACTGCAACTTGTATTTCTGATTTGAAACTATTACTAAACTGTGACTGTTAAAATATTGAATGTGCAATAACAGTTAATCAAGTAATGTATTATTAATGCAGTATTCATGCATACCAAATTACACATCCCATATCAGGACCATCCAATAAGTAAACAAATTGTGCCACTGACCAAGTCAGACACACAACAATTACTCGTGTTATAAAAGCAACAAATTTCTATTTAATTACATGCTTTCACAAGCTGCATACTTACAAACTTCCATAATGTTTAAATGCACATATCATGCAGGCATTTTTTGACTTATATACAGTACTTCACCTTAAATTTAATTAAACTGATTGAATTACAGTTAAACTGGTAATGTTAACATTGACATTTAGGACAAAATGAAGCTCTTATCCACATAGTATATTCAGAAATAATTTTATTGCACAGTATAACCACAAATTCAATATATAAACTCTTAATAATCCAAATCAACAATTTCACATCCTGTTTACATCATGCAATAAACTTTGCAGCTGGAATGATTAGATTTTGATTAATACAGTATTATTTTTGAGTTAACAAAAATTCAGTAATAATAAACATTAGTGGATGAAGAGTATTATTTTTCAGTTAAAAAACCAGTAATAATAAACATTAGTGTAAAGTAAAATGCTGACATGGAATGCCATAGAAAATGCATAAAAGAACAGCTTAATATCACTAGACATTATAACTTCAAAAAGGTGATAAAATATATTTATTTTCAAATACAGTAGAGAATATCAAGATTATCTTGCTCACTGGGAAATGTCATGGCTTCACTAGAATAATTCAAAGTGTCAGGTTTTCATAAAACTAGTAGTTAGGTTTTACATCAACTTCATCACAGTCTTCCTAATATATGATAATAAATATAGAGATTCTCAACTCTTTAAATCCTAATGGATATAGTGCATATCTTCATAACCCTAAGGACCTCAGCTGAGGAGCTCTGCAATGGTATGGTAGAACTAAACCACTAAAATCACAAGACTGTTGAAAGTATTCCTGAGACCAACTTACCAATGGCAGCAATATGCAAAACATACTAACTAGTACAGTACCTGCTAAATGAAGAATTCTATTAACACTAGTCAAACCAAATTCTCTAAGCTTTGACTGTGGAGCAATATGCCCAAATTATAACCCAATGAAATCCAATATAATGTACAGTATATCTGTTCAACCGACTTAGTTTAATGACAGGCTAGTAATGAGCAACCCTTTATGCTTGCTGCCTTATGGTATATTTTCATCACTCAGAAAAAGTATGATCAAATTTATTAAATTAAACTTTTTTGTTATTTAAAGGTGTGGTATATATTTCTCAGAAATACTTTAATCACATTTGAGGTCACCAACTTGTTCCTAAGAAGATATTGCACAACATAATTATGTAGTGAAGGCCATTAGTTATCTCATATAATAATGCTCAATGGTGTCAACTCCAAATTAAATAAAGCGTAAAACATTAGAAAACTTTAACCAATGGTGATATTTAGATTATCATACACAAAAATGTCTTCCAAACAAATCATTACTTATAACAGCACCCTAATTATTGCAAATTAAAACATTAGCAATAGCAATACAATTTATTAAAGAACATCTGAGTCATTACTTCAATATACAAAATGTTCATGACTCTCAAGTGTTCATGATAGACAATATGCATTAATACAACCCCATTACAATGGCCACATGAGCTATAAGGTAAAGGAAATGTAATGCAGCAGTGTGTGCATTTTGTTTATGTTAGTGACAATACCAAGTGAGATAAATGAGTGCTTACCAGTCTCTAACAGAAACATGAAAATGCACCTTTAATATCTCAGACCAAGGGAAACTTTGGTTTATCATTATAATAGTACTAATACAATACCACATGAAATTACATCACAAAAGTGCAAAACAACTGCCTAACAATTAGAGGTAGTATAAAGAGTACATGCTACCTAAGTGCATAGAATGCAAAATGCAGGAATTATGCAATATATTGTATTATCATTGAATACCACATACTTCTCTTCTACCATTGAACCACTGAAACATTATTTCACAATTCTAAATATAGATTTTTTACTAGCTCTAAGAGAAACTGACATGACTAAAAAAAGTTTATAACAATATAGTTTTTAACCAAATTAAGAAAACAATTTTTGTACTGTTTAAAATTAGCTGCTTCAGTTAATTCATTTACAATATCCTGGCATTTATAAAACACTGAAAAAGTTGTCAGGAATAAGACTTGCATCAAAAACACTATAGTACAATAAACATATATAAAATACCAATGCACACATCAATATATATTGTTTATCATTTTAAGTTGTCTAATAAATGCTGAACACTAACCAGAGGTGAATAATGGCCGTTTACTTGGTCATTCCCGGTCATTCCACCTTATTACAGACATCACACTTATCAACATTAAGTGTTTAGCAATTATACTAAAAAAATGCATAGCTTAAATAACAATGTAGTCATTACATTTACCTTGGTCCCTAGACAAAAAATTACACAAACACTTTTCTGATCAGCCCTATTGTTTCTAAGCATTAACACTTACACTGCTCCACATGGCATATGACGGTGGTTGGGGAACTGCTTCACATGTAACGATATTTGCTCAACTTAAGCTGAGGTTTGGTGATGACGTACCATACCTGAAAATACCCTCCTCCGACCTCAACAGTGTGCCCATAAACCACTAACACCACCAAAAACATTATATTTTCATTGAACTGAGAGGGATATTTATCACTGTGATCAGATAGTGATTTTGAATGTAAGAGATCAAGAAAGAAGCTAGGTTGAAAGTGGTGGTGTGTGGTGATGGGTTCCAAAGGGCTCGCAAAATCAACAATGAGCACTGGCTCCTAAAATCTCTGTCTGGGTGTTTAAATGCGCTAAACTTATTTTGGCAGGACAGACTTCAGCAAATGATAAAAAATTAAACATAGTAAATACACAATTGATGTTTCAAGTTTCCTTTTACACAAAAATTATAAACTATATTATATTGTTTAAAAAGGTAAAAGCAAATATAAAATATATAAAAAGCAAGAAGTGTTAGTGGCACCATCTGTGTTCCTAAGGGTTAGACAAGCCAATATAAAACTTATGAGTACAGATTCATATACCAGTTAGAGTAACTTCTAAATTTGCTCATCAATAACAACCCAAAAATGTCAAGAGGCTTTTGGTTTACAATTATTTTTGTTACCATTTCTTCTAATTAAATACAAATAGAATTTACCCAAAATAAAGACCCACACATTTAATATACATATTTTTTTAAATTTGTTTAAATATATGTTATGTGAATTTAAATGCATAAAATAACTAACAAATAAAATTAGTTTAAAAATATTGAATTTACTCCAAATTTTGATTCAACACACTATATAATGTATCGAATAACTGGAAGACTCTTACGAGCCTAACCATACAATGAGTCATGAGAATGAGGCAGCTCCCTAGCCTAAATTAAAATACAGAAAAAAAAAACTTTTGATATATAAAAGAAAACTGAGGATCGTCAAAATTTACTCGGTAAACATAATTCTGAACTACCCGAAATAAATGCAATTTCTCTTAAGAATTTAAATGCAAGGTTAACATGCAAAGCAATTTGCTGCCAACAGTTCCACATCTAAAACATAAAAGCAATTCTTTCAAAAGCATTAAGAAATTATACAACTTGTTTAAGCATCCATGCACAAGCAAAAAAGCAGTACTTGTTGCTTGCCTTATACAAATTATAAAACTGTTAGAAATACTGTAGTAATCTTATGACAATTCTTCAAATAAAGTGCTATGCCAGTACAGTACTGTATATATTTCATGACAAAAATATATACTAAAGAAAGGTATTGTATAATTATTTGATTCACTGAATAAGTATAACCTTTGCTGTACTGCAGTAATAAGGCCAGTACTTAAAATTAAAACAATTGCCAAAAAATAAATCCTTGAATACAATGAAATGCTTCTTTCTGGCTGGTGCCTCGGTGGCTCCGTGAGCTACCGAGAGGGTTTCCTCCCAGAAGTTACATAATGTAACCTATCTGTGTATACTGTATACTGTGTATGTATGTATGTATATGTATATATATGTATGTATGTATGTATATATATATATATATATATATATATATATATATATATATATATATATATATATATATATATATATATATATATATATATATATATATATATATATATATATATATATATATATATATATATATATATATATATATATATATATATATATATATATATATATATATATATATATATATATATATATATATATATATATATATATATATATATATATATATATATATATATATATATATATATATATATATATATATATATATATATATATATATATATATATATATATATATATATATATATATATATATATATATATATATATATATATATATATATATATATATATATGGGTAAAGAAATATATGTTTAACCTCTTTTCTAATTTTATTGGGCAGGAAGGTATCAGCTCAGAGAAAAATAGGTGAGTAATAGTAAAAGACGTTATAGATATTAAATAATAAAATATTAATACAAATTATGCATTCATTAAAGCCTTTGCTATAAATCACAAAATTTTTTTGTTATTTATTGTGGCCCAATGTACCAGCCCATCATCCTGTTTTGGTGGTACTGATAGTAATGATGAGGACCATAGTATATCTACCGACATAAAATTAAATTAGAAAGAAATCGGCACTGTTGAGTTGGACAAACCGAAAAACTATTTTCTACTTATGTTGCAAAGACAAACTAAACTAGCCTAACCTAACCTTCCTAGGCCTAATACACGATATCTGAGGCCTAATATAGTATACTGTATATGTGTGCTATACTAGGCCTAGGAATATTTAAGTTAGTTTTTAGCTTCAATTTGTCCCGATTCTACTAAGTGAATAGTACAAAGTTCTACTATCTAACTGCTTAGAACGGCAATCTTTGTACTATGGTGCACATAGTTACAAAAACTACTATCTAAACAGGAGTATGGGTTGAATGTACAGTATGTGAAATACATGCTTTTACAGACAGGTCTGTGAGCATATTGCTTTACTTTATTCCCATGAATAATTCCAGGTTTACATTGTATGAATAACTGTATACATACACAGCTAGGTAAATATGCATATTTGCAGTAGCATAAATTTATTCATGTACATGTACACACTTGTACATACAAAGGCAAAAACCGATGTAAACATATGCTGCACTTGTGATCCACATGTAATAATATTCGTAAATTAGTAATGTTTATGAAAGTGTAATGATAAAAAGCAAATTCAGATGATTAATACAAAAATGCCATGTCATGCATACATAAAGCATTAACTTGTATGGTAAGTAAAAACTACATACGTACTACTTTATATGAAAAAAATAACTTTTCCCGCACAACTGAATATGTTGGGTCACCCAATTCAGGAAAAGTATACCTAGAGCTGAGAATGAAGCTTTGAATACACACCTTTCTTGGAGCTACTATAGGCCTTTCTGATTTAAAAATATAACCAACTGACTGATCAAAATCACAGAATTTCAAGGCAACACTGAAACATAATAACAATATTTTAGGTTAAAATATTTTGCAAAACTAAATAAAATGGCAATAATGTTCCATTACAAAAAAAAAAAAAAAGATACTGAACATTAAAAAGGGAATTACATCACACGGATATAATGTGTCATGCATTTTGAGCGTGTATTGCCCAGTGTATTTCCTAGGAGCACCAATGTCCCAGAACCAGAAATATCCTAGATGTAGCAATTTTTTTCCAGAAGCAGAAATATCCTAGGTGCAGCAATGTCCCAGAAGTAGAAATGTCCCATGAGCAGTAATGTACCAGGGGCAACAATGTTATATGAGCAGTATTTACTCTAAGAGCATCAATGGTCTAAGATCAGCAATGTCTTAAGAGCACCAGAGTAGCAATGTCCCAGGAGCAATGTCCTAAGCACAGTAATGTTCCAGGAGCTGCAATGTCTTTGAATCAGTATTCTTCTATCAGCAGCAATGTTCCAGGTGCAGCATTGTCCTAGGAGCAGCAAAGTCTCAGGATCAGCAATGTTCTAGAAATCATAGTATCCTAGGAGCAACAATGTCCCAGGATCAGAGATATCTCAAGAGCAGCAACATTTTAGGTGCGGCAATGACCTAGGAGGAGCAATGCCCTGGAAACAGCAACTTTCCAAAAGCTGAAATCTCTCGGAAGCAGGAATGTCCCAAGAGCATAAATTGTTCATGGACAAGCAATGCTTCAGTAGCAACAAAATGCTAAGAGCATTACTCTCCCAGGAGCATCAATGTTCCAGGAATAGCAGTGCACCAACAGATGTACCAATGTCCTAGAAGCAGCAGAGTCCCAGGAGCAGTAAGTCTAGAGGTACCCCATTTCATTATTGGTCCCAGGCACTTGCATACACTGAATTGGAGTCACTATATTACCTATACTAGGTTAACTGTGGGTCCCAAACAATGTGGTTCCTTTATATTGTCATAGCTGGCACCCAGTTCTTAAAACTAAATGGATAAAATTATCTCGGATACAAATAGCTTTGTGTGTAAACAGAATGTAGAGATAATAACACACACACATATATGGAACTGGCAATTATTAACCTATGCATAAAGAAGGATGGTCAATTTTCTTGTAAACATGCATATAAAAGATGTATTGATGAAGAATGGTCTAATAGAAGAGACATTTACAAAATCACTGCCATATATATATATAGTATCAAAATCTAAACAAACAATTCTTTTTCAGATTTAGCAAAGCTAAATAGTATTTTTTATTACAAGAGCCAAAGCCTTAATAGGGCATGAAAGCACATAACCCTCAATCAAATAGACTGGCCAAAGCAAACTACAGTATCTTCTGTTAGTGATCCAACTAAAGATAAATCTTTCAATATAATATCAGCAAGGTTTCAGAAAGTAAGTTTGGAAATAGAAAACAAACAATTCCTTAAAATTCAATCAATTAGTTACAAGTCATTAATACTTGCAACTTATTCAGCTGAAACCTACACATACTTTTGTAAACTAGCAGACATTCCTAATACCTAAATCAAATCATGGTATTTCCCTCTCCTGTTTATCCATTCAGTTTTGTTTGTTTACACAAACTCGATACATCCAAGATGACTACTGTTATACACTTCTCAAAATTATACAAAACTTTCAGTATAATTGCAACTCACTGGAATCCACTGGCCCAAGTTATGATTCAAGGCCGTAATAATAAACTAACTGGGTTTGTAAGTTACTTTTGAATACTGTACAACCTACTATTTCCCCGACCCCATCCTTCAGAAAAGTCCCAGGTATAATTCTATACCATACTATTAATTTCATGTGGATGACCGTCAGAAAAATCAAGATTTAATACATGATTTACATGTCTTAATAAATGATTACTTAGTGCATTAGGAAGACAGCTCACCATCTTGGGATACAGTATACAATACATGAAAGTGGCAGTGGTTTCATGTATTTTCTTGATTATCATTATTTATGTACAGCCAAAGTTTCTTGCTCAATGCTCTTTATCTAGATGTCTTGTAATACTGTACCATAATTCTCTATTTTCCAATTAAAGAGGAACAGTGAAGAACAATGAAAATTAATTTAAAAGCTATTATTTTCCTTATAAACGAACAGTTTATTTTACTTCAGCTGGAGTCTATTTTAGACGTTAACTTCTCTTTGGCTTGCAGCCACTACTCTCTATCTACATAGTGCACCTTTATTACTGCATCACCATAATATTCCATATATAAAATGAATGCAATATTGAACAAAACATCTTGACTGCATTTAGCTTCATGTAAACTCAAACAAAATCCTGACAACTAGAAGATAAAGAAATCAACCAGGACACAACACAGTTATTTTGAAAGTAATTAAATAATTGTTTTTGCTTGTGAAACAAATGCCACACTTTGTTCATGCAATACAGCAAGTGCTTTCCAAAGTTTTAATTTATACATACTGTCTTGATGATAAATATAGTTTTCATGATCTTTATGGCTTGTCAATAGAACTCGGTAATAAATCCAAGCACACAATAACTAGATACTGTACTGTACTTGTTTCCATGTGATACCATATGCATCATACAGAAGTGAGGTAAGGTAATTATCAGGAGAAAGCACTAAGCCAGTATGACTATATAGCCCTTAGAAGTGATATGAGGATAAGGAGCTGGGATAGAACGGAGGCAAGGAATGGTGCCCAACCACTTGGACAGCCAGGGATTAAATTCCGTCTCACATGAAGCGAGACTTGTCACTCTACCATCCTCTCCAAGTGGTTGCGTGTATCATACAGAGATGCAAGCTTATTTTGTATCCTTTACATGTATCACTGTTATTTACTTGAATATGCAAAGACATTAAATGTGGTGCCAATATATTTACTTATAACTAAACTTGTCAATCAAGTGTCAACACAAGTATTTAATGTACAGCACATCATTAAAGTTGCTAAATGATAAGATGATCAAACTACCTCAGGTAATTTGGTTTTATATAAGTTTTGTCGGTATTTACAATTTTGTAATTTCGTTCAACAGGTTTTATCTAATATAGTGCTAGCTATATTCACCTTTATCTTATATAATGTTATTTATAATTATCCAAATTTATAGTAATTTAATTTTAAATTACTGACTAATGAAATACACAGAATGAAGAGTATAACAAATGTCTTCACAGTAGTACCAATAACTAAGATATTTAGTCATTCCTTATTTATTCCTGAAGAATACTTTGTTACAAAGTAAATTATAATGACAAATAAAAATTACTGCACATAAACAGTTTAAAAAAGAAAGTCTGAATCGAATAACAAATTAAAATCACTTCACTGTGAATGGATACAATAACATAATAGTGATTCCTTTTCCATGTTAAGGAAGTTTATAAAAGATACTCCTAGCCATCTGTGGTAGTTGCACAAACTTTTGCAACATACTTGAGCTTGCATAACTAACTTAATCAGAGTAAACAAAATATGACTACTGGAGAGAATATTATGAATAAGATCTACGTATGCGAGTTTTACCTCTGATTTTGTTAAAGCTTAATTTACATTCCATATTATAAAGCTAAGATATCACAACTGCAATTGTCCATTACAATACAAATTCATGCAATTTATGAAAGTAAAAAAAATTAGTTAGAAATGACAACCTCATAAATACAACTTAATTCCTTGTATAAATTATAATTTGCATTAGTGAATAACAATACTTCAAATATTATTGCAAGACAAAGAGGCATTATGAGTATTTTGATTTCAATCATTGCTTTTAAAAACAAGCTACAAACTTTTAAGTAACAAGCTGCATTTATAACAATAAAAAATATATCACATTCATCATGAAATTATCCTTGCAAATATTAGTGACATTTACACTATCTGTTCTAATACAGTACTGGATTGAAGGAATCTGCAGTAAATTCCGTGAGTATTAACCATTCACACCATTTCCTCGACCACGTTACATAAAAACTGCAGCTACCAGTGCAAAGGAACACAAATCTTGATTATCTTGCAACCCTGTTATCAAGACCCTTAATTCTCAAGGATTTGGTTTACCATAAATATTATAATTATCATCATGAAACAGTAAGTGTTTTTGTGTTTCAGTTACAAAAATTCACGGAACATCCAACAGTTCATGAATTTAGGATAATATAATTTGAAGTTTAACCAAACCCAAGACAACTTTATGTAAAATTACATTTTAAGCTTAATGCCCGCAGTATCCAGAACTGTCAGTATAAGGCAGACAAAAATTATCTACAATCATACCCATGTTCACCCAGTTGGAAAATATTTCATTCTAGATGAAAGATACACCGAGAACAGCCAAAGAAAAGTTCAACATTTTCTTATCTTCAATTACAGCTTTTCTTTCAGTGCCACTGCTAGGGTCTTGACCTGTTCATTAGAATGAGTGGCGAGTTCCTCGACAGCTGCTCGCATGTCATCAGTTTTGACAGATTCCAAGGCAGGCTCTGAAATAAGTACAGAAGATAAATAAAGGTTTTATTTTTAAATACAAAACCTGCAAGTAATCTTTTCTACAATCTAGATATTTTTCAACCATAGGCAATCAACACACAATATGATATGCAGTATTCTCAAATTAAAATTATTAGTCTTCTGTCCCTCTTCCTGGGTGGAACTTCCATTCCCTACAACTTTTGAAGTATTAGTGTTCAATCCCTGATGGCCCAAATGGTTGGGCACTATTCCTTCACTCCATCCTCATGTTGTCCAACCACTTGGGCTGGACGGTAGAGCGACGGTCTCGCTTCATGCAGGTTGGCATTTAATTACCGACTGTCCAAGTAGTTGGGCACCATTCCTTTCCCCGTCCCATCCCAAATCCTTATCCTGACCCCATTCCAAGTGCAATGGCTTAGCACGTTCCCTCGATAATTCCCTGCCTCCATCTTTATATCTGTACCCACCAAGTGGGTACAATAATATAAGTAATACTGTACTGGCATAGCACTTTCTCCTCATAATTACATCACTGGGTGGAAGTGTGGGTGTAGAAATGCAGTGAATGGTAGGGTCAGAGGGTGGTATGGGAACTGGTTTGGGATGTTGCTGGGCAGGTGATGGGTACATGGGATCTATACCTGTTGTACAAGTCATTTGAGGCTCTGAGGATCCACGTACCTCTGACCAGGCCTCCAGGTTTGTGGTCTAGTCAACCAGGCGGTTCTAGGGATAACACCTATAGGCTTTACCTACAAATGATGTTTAGGGCCTGTGATAGTGGTCTTTCGCAATTTTTGATGAATATAGAATTCCAGGAATCAGGTTTTGTTGTGAAGTGCATAAGTATGATGTCATTGGTTACTTATAAGTCCAATGGGGTTAGGTGTGACATCTAATATATGATTCCAAGTTGGTATCAACATATAATAATAACTGCATTATTCTGAGGATCAATGTAGCACCAGATTGGTACTACAATTTTCCATTTCACAGCAAATTTGTAAGTTTTAAGTGGTAATTTGTGAATGACTGATCACAAATTGCTTCCCAAGATACTTTCTGATACAGTACCACAGTTTTTGCAACATTCTTATATTTTAGGTGTTGCAAAGGAAAACAATACAGGAAAAGAAAGGCATGCATATTAATAGTGGTCCTCATTCATTGGTTATACCATTCACACTATATAGTATCACAGATAAATATGCATCAGTGGCTTGGGCACTTAAACATTATAAGCAAATAACATACCATTAGCTGAGAGTGCAGTCATCATCGACAATACATTGGACATTATCTCGGGTGGCAAATACGGATTCTTCAGTACAAACGTCACCACCTCTGGTAATTTGGTCTTCTCCACCACATTTCCAGTGACAACTGTACCAAACACAAGTACAAGAGCAAGGGCAGCTTCATTAACCATGACAGCATGCTCTGATCCCAACATGAGCACTAGTGGGGCAACACAGCCAGCAGATGCCAGTGACGTGATGACCGACGAGTCCCCTCCACAGTTCTTGATGATCCATGCTAGAAGTCGGCTGGATTCTCCCTGCACACCGGGGTGATCAGTGGTGCCACACCAGCCAACTAACCGACCTACTACCTCACTACTGCTACCCACCTGTAAATAAGAAATCAGGAACTTTATAATACTGTACATCCTTAATTATAATACTATACTACTAACAATAATAATAGAAAAAAAACAAGAATACAATTACAGTACTGTACTGAATAACTGAATACACAAAAACAATGCTAATCTTCTCTCTGTTGTACTTTTTGCTGCTTAACAATACATCTCTCAAACTTTAAACTTTTTTGAGCTATACCACTTCATTGCTCTCTCAGGCAAGAACTGTATGGTCATCTATTTAAAAGTAAGGAATTTATATACAAAAGCAAAAAAAAAAAAATACCAAAATAAATATGTACAATGATGATCTTTATGTTGGTCTGGTAAGTGCAGTCATTGTCTTATGATGATGGCAACAAGGTGATGAAATCTGAATCCAAATTATTTTGGGATTTCCCATGACTGCTAAGAGATACATACCATTGAGCTATTGGAACCATATTGACAATGTTGATATTCTAACACTGGGACAAAATGCAGATCTTCTACAACGGTGACCACAGTGCACTCGAGTACCAATACATATCAATAACCACACTTTAAGGGTCAAGGTAGACAGGTTTAGATTAGAGCACACATACATCATGTTGTTCAAGTCTCCTCTACATACTTTGGGTCAGACTGCAGGTTCTGGTATCTAATATAGACTATAGTATAATTCTCCCCGTGTTGATGTCCCCAATGACTCGTTATGGGGATTGCCATAACAATGTATGGTGGCATTTTGTAGAGTTCTGTATAGTTCTTTTTGACCCTGAAGATCATCAATGCTCAGCATCTGATTTGATTGGTGCTTATTTCAGACACCAGAGCAGCATCCTTTTCCCTACCAAAGATGGGGTTAGTTTGGGAACCATCCCATTTTTGTAGAAATGATGCCTCTCTTATCAGGATCTTGAGCGTCTCATCAGGCATCTTAATTTTCTTTGCACTGTATAAATCCCCTGCACCTTCATCTTATCAGTAATATGAGCTGGCCTAGCAAGAGCACCAGTGTTATCTCCATTAAATATTCCTCTCATTAAAGGGCTGTTTAGATAGGATTCGAGTGTCTGAGGACTTCACACTCGAGGTTTATTTCTGGGCTGGATGTTCAGATATCTGGGAATACAAATCACCACCTTCCCCAGTAACTTCCTCTAGCCATATTCTGAAGCACATGGAAGTTTAATCACTTGCACTTGCTATTCCTTTTAGTTTTTCTTTTCTTCCTAGGTACTCTTGCCCAAGGGAGCAACATGGAGCAACAGAGAGATACAATTCAGAAACAAGGCTTTGCATATTAATGAAAAGCTCCATCCTGAGCAAGACACTCAGCTGATCTTGTTCCCTCCTTTCTGTCATCGATTTTGCCTGTGCTTTATAAATGTTCTTATTAGATGTAATCTGAGGCAGGAAGTGTCTGAGTGTCTCCATGTGTCACTTGACAGTGGTAAGAGGGAAGTGGTCAGGCAGATAGGTTAGCTCCTTGGTGGTCATTTGGATGATGAATAGTGCTTGGAAGGGATTTGAGAATAGTTGACAGAGTCTTCTCGATGTCATTCTGGAAGTACTGACAAATTTTCCAGAGTTTTCTGTACAACAGTGACCCAAAATAAGACTCATCTTCTCTAAAGGCATTTTTATCCCATCTAATCATTTTCAACTTACTTTCTTAGCATCTATTTGCTTTACAAAATAATCTTACTCCTACAGTATCATTTTCACTATCTTTAAGAATTAGTATCATTCCAAAACTTAACTCATCTTGTCTCTTTTTTCCAGCATTATTCCTTTACATTATTTACCTGTTATACAAAAATCACATGAATGTTTAACAATCAACCTACATTATTCCTATCTTTGTATTGTCTCTCTCTTTTACTTCACATTTTATTTATCAATAGATATGATAAATATGCCAAATATGCTCTTATGTCATTCTTGTATTCTTTCTCTACATTAACACTTTATATAGAATTTGTTATCAGTTTCTCACCTTAAGAGCAGCTTCAGTTTGTCCATCAATGATCATACGTAGAGTAGCCAAAAGTTTAAAAACAACTGGGAAAGTCTCAATTGCTGTTGCCATGGGAAGAAGAACATCAAGAGCACCCTGAAAAAATTTTACTAAATAATTATACAGAATATCCATTGATTAATTATCTACTGCATTTCTTGGAACATACAGGTATCTTTAAACTCTCTTTCCTTACAATGTTTTCCTGTCATATCTAAGGAAACCCTTCCCCACTCTATGAATAGATTAATGATGAATTAAATATCTATATACAATGTAATCATTTCCAAAAAGTATCCTCATATACAGTATGTTTAAGAATCTCTTAAACTGCAGGGAATAATTCATAATAATGTGGCTAAAACAAATACCTCAACCCACAAATACAAAGTGAAATTAAAATAATGACATTTAGAAATGCCATTATTTTAATTTCATGTGGCATATCCTTATCCTGATCCCTTCCAAGTGCTATATAGTCATCTATATATAATGGCTTGGTGCTTTCTCCTGATGACTCCCACCCATTCTTTGTGACCTCTTTATCCAGTCATGACATAGCAAGAGTGACAGATAATTACATTATAAGGCAAGAGGGAAGGTGAGCTGAAATGAGATAAAAGATAAGTGGAGAAGTAAAGCATGAAAACCAAGATAACATAAGAATAAAGAATCTGCAGAAGGCCTAATGGTGGGTGAACTAAGCAAGCAAGGGTAAGAGAAACATGAAAAGGAAAAGTGTGAAATACGACAGAGAATCAAAACACACACACAAAGAAATCAAAACAAAAGGAATAACAGGAAAGTACAAATAGCTAAGCTAGATCATGCCTGCTAAGAAGATTAGAGCATTTAACTATATACTGAGAAATGCAAGAGTTTACAGCAACAAAACAAGGACTAATATTCACTTAGGTCATATTGTGTAAGAGCCAATTCATCAAGATACCATCTATGGATAGTAGCCAGGAAAGATTATTTTGGAAGAAGATCAAGATACAGGATGACTAGAATCTATAACATGGCAGATGAGATCACTGTTCATATCAGAAGTTTAACACTTCCTTTGCATTCTTTAACTCTGCCACTAAGAGTTTCACTAACATATTGGAGAGGACAAAAGAAACAGGAAATGCTGTCATGACTCTGTAGGGGTCCAGGATGAACCAAAATGTTGTCATTTTAATTATGTGTGCGAGTTGAATTATTTTAAATTGAAGATTGTTGAATTTTCATAAAATTTATAAGCATCATACAGTATTAAAATATTAATCATTGTATTTCTTATTTTTGTTAAGCCTGCTTACTTTAAGTGCCGAGCTACACTATATATAAATCTCAGCACTTGATCTTGAGTCTAAACACTATCACCCATCCAACCTCTGGATTTTCCTTTCTCAAGTGGGTGGCTATGAGCACCTATTATGAGGGGTAGCCCTAGACATTCCACACACCTTCTAATGTTGAAAATTTGTAAAGGGACAAGAAAAATATTTATAAAAGAATATTGCTCTTGTGGCTATCATGTAAGGAAAGTATAAAACAAAATATTATGATAAAGGTCATATATACATACTTGATTTACCAACACTGGTTTGTTCTCCTTGGCAATACTGAGATTGCGAAGGGCTGAGAGAAGAGCGTGCTGTAGGCGTATGTCTCCTTCTCCTGAATTGTGGCTAGACAGAACTTTGAGCAGCTTTTCAGCAATTCCACTTTCTACCATTTGAATGCAGTGAGCATCTGTATGGGTACATAAAATCATGCAAAAACTGTCCTTTTTATTCCATACACTAATTATCAGTCTTGCAGCAAGACATGTAAATATCTTCTTCAGGCCTCACAGTCACTAAAAGGTCAGATGACCAATAATGAGAAAAAATGGATTCAAACAAGAGAAACTGAGATTAAGAAAATAAATAGGCAAAAACTAGTTCAGAGTAGGGTTGCCCATCTGTGGAACATTAAGAATCACCAGTGAAAGTAACTCAAGTGAAATGTTTCAAGTATTTAGCTATCCATATTTCTCTCGGTGAAATGTAGATGACTATAAATACATGAGTGAGTGTGAGTAACTAAGTACATAAGTGACTGGATATAAATAGCAGCCGACTCTCATGGGCCAACAGGCCTTCTGTGATACTTTTATTGGACCACTAGGCACCAGGAAATTGGATTGATTAAAAAACTACAAAATCCTTACATAAATCTAAAAGTTACTTTATTTGAAACTTATATCCTACAGCAACTAACAAACTGCTTCTTCAGACAAACAACAGAGCATGCCCAGTACTCACCACTTCGTGCAAAATTCCCCATAGCAAGAGCTCCAGCAATCTGTAAGTCTTCTAAGTCTGAAGTAAGCCAGTCTAACAGCTCCTGGTATACAGAACCAGAGCCATTGCTGTACACAATACCCATACTTTCATCTGCACAAGTAAAGAAAAGTACATAAGCAACAGTAGTCTTGACATTTATACATTTGGATAAACACAACCACTGTACTATAACAAATCTTAAGCTATTGCTGTGACCAATGCTTAGTGCTGATATAACCTTACAGAAACATGCAAATATGTATTCTATACAAAGCCATCATTTACCCTAAAAGAAAATTCAATTTTTTTTTTGGAAAACTAAATCAAACTGTTGTAAATACTTGAAGAAAGAATAGATCTGAAACCAATCAGTGAAGGTTTTTGAGATTGTACACTATTAAATTAAAAATATAAATTATCAGCATCACAAATACATGCATGTCTTCCTGAAGCTATATTTGCCGAAACTGTTCAATGCTAATAGATCTTATTAGTTGTGGAAATTCTGTTTGACCTACACAGGACCAGAGCCAGAACCTGGCTCCTTTAAAAAATGCACAGGGAATGAGTAACAATTCGCCAACCCACCGGGAAAGCATCCAGAAAGTCAGTGAAGCTTTACAGACAACGGGAGATTCACAGAAAACGAAGCCCCAAGGTGGACTTCTTCATGTTGGTATGGAACCAGTATCTTCCCTCATATATGGCTCCATTTCCTGATTGAAAGGCTCTCGCAGTGGACACTTTTTGGCTGGACTGGTTGAGGTGAGGGTGCCTTTACCTCTTCCCCTCGATTCAATTATTGCTCCAGATTCTTTACAGACTGGAGTCATTCTTGAGAGGGTGATCCTTCTGTTTCGTTGGTGGCCAGCTCAGCTTGGGTTTCTGGCTCTTCTGGCCCACTGTTCAGACCCAGGCATTTTTCAGCGGATCAACCCAGCAATGTACCTCATTGGTTTGACCTTCTCCTTGTCCCTTCACATCTGAACTTTGATGCAGGCCTATCACTGATTTTATGGCACACAGGTGACTGAGTTATTGGTGTCTTACCTATGTTTGTCGTCCAGGTGGCAATATGAAGTGCTTGGCACTTCTTTCGCCTATTTCGTCTATCTGATGTATTTCTTCAGTTTCAATTTGTGTGGTGTTATCTTTTGTTTCATGGTTATTTCTTGATCGGCATCTTATGTCTAATACTACTGCCTCTTCTATCATTTGGCATTGGTGGAGCCACTATTGCTTGTGTACATCGATATTACTGGAGATCCCATCCCACAAATTGCCTCGGGTGTTTTTTAACCTCCAGCCTGATCATGGTATGATCATGCTCTTCTTGACCATGATGCTTCACAGTCTTAGACTTTCTCTTCTACCCTAGGTTAATGTCTGCCCCTTCGGTACAGGATACCTTTCTTAAGGTTCTTTTCTTGTTGGCTCTTACCTCCAGTCATTGGAGTGGGGAGGTTCATGATCTCCTGGGATGGGGGTTTCTCTCAACCCCCAAACTCCTGGGGTTTTGGGGAGGGGGAGGTTTTGGTTGGTACATGAATAAAGGGACCCAAGTGGAAACTACGGTAAGTATAATACTACAGTACCCAAATAAACAACAGAGATTAGACAAAAGAATTAGTCTTGGTAATAAAGAAATGGCACCAATGGAACTGAAATGGTTGATATGGATTCCATACACAGCTTCAAAAGATAAAAAAAACAGTCCAAAATGTTTAAGAATATTAGTTACAAACTGGAATAAAGTGACCGCTGCCTTTAGTGTGTCGACAGACATTGTCAAGCTGAGGGAGGAAACCAGACCAAGGAACAGGTCAAGAAATGCAAGAGACCATGCAGTGGTAGACTACAGGAAGACAAAACACCTCTTGGGAAACTTCCTTTATCAGGTTTAAGTAGAGTTAATGGGTGACTAGCTGCTTACAGCAGTGGAGGAGTTGATGGCATTAGGCTGACTCATATGAAGTATTTGTCAGCAGCATCATAGACACTTAATTGGTCCACTAAAAAGGCACAAAACACAGAACCCTCTAGTAGTTAAAAAAGAGGATAATGCCTGTGGGTACTGGCTGACTGCACCTTCAATCCACTAAACACCAGATATGCTATGAAAATTTAGCGTATCTCCAGATATGCTCTTCAGAGGTGAAGACATGGATAAATTCTAAGCATTACTGCCTCTTCACAGATATTATTCTGAACACAGAATATTTCCATTTCCTCAAGACAAGAGCAAGTGAATAAACACCATGTTCTGAGAAGTGTTGGCTATGAGAAGATTGCCTTGTCACACAGGTACTTATTAGTCCAAGCAGAAAAATAACAAAGGCACAAAATAAATGCAGGTTTACATACCTCCTACCAATATAAGGACAATAAGGTCTGTGGCTGTCTTGATTATAGGTGGAGAGAGATCAGAACTTGGATTGTTACGGTGACGTCTTACCACTTCTACTACTGCTTCACACACCCCACCCTGGGCCACCTGGGTTTTCACACATTCTGAGAAACACAACGGACGTTAGTAAATACAAATATATATAAAATTACCTTATTAACACTAATGTGGCTATGGCTTATATTGCAGTCCTGAAACCAATATTAGATACCCACGGGGAAAATGGCACATTAGAGAAAATAAAATGCAGACAAATTAACTTAACTCATACTGAATGTGACTAAGAAGTTGAGGTTTCCTAAAATGCTTGAATGCTGCACATTTTGTTCACTACACTAGGATGACTCAAATTGAATTCATGGTATACTTCTAATTTAAGGCACAAACAACACAGATCCAAGTTAAAACCATATTTGACTAACCTACTTCACCTACTTTTGCAAGATTTCTTTAGTTGTAAACACTGTAACTTCCAAATATTATAATTTATCATATGCTCCATATGTACTATATTTACAATAAAATCTTCAATACTTGTGATGTTACATTCTCAAAGACCTTGCAAAAGCCTGTAACATAACTGTTAGATTATTAGAAAAAATTAGACAGGTTCCAATACTTAAAGAAAGGGCATATATATAGATGCAAATATTTTTTTCCACTTCATTAACAGTAACACAGCTTAATTTACAGTACTGTAAACAATACAGTACTAATTTTTGTTAATACTGTATTCTATGCTTTAAGCATAAATGCTAACAATTAAAATATCAAGTGTTGAGGAAATTTAAATGCCAAGATCCATCAAAGACACCATGTGATGAGCCACCAAAGGCTCTTCACATGCTAGGCCCTAGTCGACACTGAACTGTGACAACTTATACAATGGTCTAGATATACTATATATGAACTGGGGAAGAGTGGAGAGCAGAGCTCAATTACACCAAGGACTACTGTTGCTATGACAAAGAACTTATCAAAACTCTAAATGCCTCCTTCAAGAGATTATTTGCAACACAAGGATAACCAATTAAAGCTATGCAAACTATAAAGCAAACTGCAATAGCCATAAAAGGAAGGGGGGGGGGCCTTTGACAAGCCGGATTCCTGTCCTAATCGATGCCACTAGAAAGACGGTGACCCATAGGTCAATTCAGGCATTTTGGTCACACTACAGGGTCAGAGGGGCTGGCTAACCAGGACACCCAAACATACAGCGTACTTGTTAAAGCCAGGACCAAAAGTGTAAGATTAGGAGCAAATTTTATTTCTGAGCAGGACTAATTCAGTTGCACTACAAGCCAACTGAACATTATAAAAACAAAGATTAAGAGTGGCTTAATCATGCAGAACAATGCTTGGCTGTCTCACAAAAACCAGGGTGAAGTCACCAAGTAAGTGACCCCTCCAGTTGTCTGTAAAGCTTCTATGACTTTCCGGATGCTTTCCCAGTGTGGTGGTGAATTTTCACTCACTCTCTGTGTTTCTGTGAGGTGGGGAGGGAGGGTGCCAGGTTCTGGCTCTGGTCCCTGGTAGGCCCAAGCAGAACTATAGCTTCTGGGGCACCAGGGGGCTTCCCCAGAAAGGGTTCCAAAACAACCCAGTGTTCAAGCCTATCTATTACCTTCTTTTACTATTACTCACCCCATTTCTCAAGGCTGATGCCTCCTCACCCCATAAAAGATAGAACAAATGTAATGATAAAAGATACCAAATAACTCAAATTGCAATTTACTGACAACTGGATGAGACAAATGTTGCTCTATATACTGTAATCAATAACACAAATACTGGAAAAATCATGAAAAAAAGGAACAGTATAACTTTCTTCATAAAAATAAGAACACTGCATGCAGTAATAATGACATTTCTAATGCTACCTGTCTCAGCCAAGTTTGTCACAAGTTCAAGGCATGTTTCTGTAACCTCAGGAGATTCATTTATTCTTAAAACACGCACCAATTGTGGTGTGATGTCCCTCGACACCACCAGACCACGTCCCACCTCTGCAAGAAGAAATAACTGGATTAATAATTTAAAGTTTTGTACAGTTCTAGTTAAACAAAAAATATAAATAATTTAAATCCAAACACTATAAGTACTATTAACATCATTAGTTCTCCCTTGAAATTAGTTTGCACAAGAACAATTAAGCAAGGCATCTATAACTTCTTATGTCAGCTGATCTTAACAGAAATGTCATTAAACAGCATCAATAATAAATACATTGTAATGCATAACAAATTAACAAATTTATTATTAAAATAACCTTAAAAAGCATACAAAGCTGAAATTATTTGTAGAATTTGACATTACTCATTCATCAAGAAAAACATTTTAAGACAAATAAAATAGTCATTCATATGGAAACAAAACAGAAAAGGAAGAATAAGAAAGAGATTGAGGGATGAACGAAAGTGAGGGAAGATGCCAACATGAGATCATACCCAGAGTAAACTAATATCTAATCTAGTTGCTTAGCAGCAAAAATATTCATAAGGATGTTGTGAACAATTTTGTTGTTATTGTTATGCATGTTCAATCCACAGCTTATAAATCCGATTGCAGGTGAAATATATATAACTTGTCAATGTCTTAAAAATTCATTGGCAAAGCATAATCAGAATCTAAAAATTAATTTGAAAAGTACTAGCCCAGTCATTGACAGTTCACTGCTAAAAAAAAAATGCAGCATTAATAGTAATGAAATGTCCTTTTCTTATGTATCTTTCCAGTGGCTTCCCAAAGCTACTTGCCTAGATTGGTTCAAGCTAAAAGCACCCCACCTTGCCAAATGAATCATAAGTACCTATTGGGAACCAGGACCAGAATCTGGCTCTCTCAATAGAGGCAGTGAAGCCTGAGGATACAAGAATTCCTGGGTGTTACTTGGTTTTATCAGCCCATCCTCCTAAGGTTTCCCAACGTCAAGAAAACAGTAAAATTAATGTGACCTTTCCTAACCTATGAGAGGACCCAAAACAGAAAACAGGACAGTACATCACTTTCACGAGCCGCTTCCATTTTCTAGTACGACAATTTCTGGTCTTGTATAATGCATACGAGCGAAAAGTGATGTTCTTCGTAGAAGAGGTTGGGTTTCTTGTATGCTGATACTTGCCCTTTACATCTCTTGCCTCCTGCCATTTTGAGGCAGCTTCTCTCTATGTTCCTTTTGTTTTCACCCCAGTCGGCCGAGCGGACAGCACGCTGGACTTGTGATCCTGTGGTCCCGGGGTCGATCCCGGGCGCCGGCGAGAAACAATGGGCAGAGTTTCTTTCACCCTATGCCCCTGTTACCTAGCAGTAAAATGGGTACCTGGGTGTTAGTCAGCTGTCATGGGCTGCTTCCTGGGGGTGGAGGCCTGGTCGAGGACCGGGCCGCGGGGACACTAAAAACCCCGAAATCATCTCAAGATAACCTCAAGATAACCCCTGCCATGTCCCACTCTTGGTTCTGTAGCAGCAGTGGCTTTGTAAGTTTGCCATCGGCTTGCTGCTGTTGGATGCATCGGGTTCTTGTGGGATTGCCAGATTTTCAGCAGTTGATGCGGAGGAGGGAGGTTTAGATGCACTGTTTCCTGGAAGTGGCTGAGACGGAGGTTTTGCTTAAGTAGTTCGCTACCCCTGGTGTGGGTATATTTCCATTAAGCTCACTTGGCAATGGTATTTTTGCTTCACTTCAGCAGTGTTCTCAGTGCTGGCTTTTTGGGGTTCACAGACTCGTGGTCTAGGTACATTATCAATGTGACACAGGACCCTATGAGGATGAATAAATATAAAATAACATGCAGCAAATCCAAAATATGATATGGATAATTTGCTTAATATTTTTGTTGTCCTTTTCATATTGTAATCAAGCATTTCCAAAAGAAAAACTTTTATAAAAATTGTATAAAATGGTTAACTGTATTACAGTTTATCTCACTGAAGTCGTTGGCACACATAATACATTTACTTCTTTAACAAAACATTTATCCTCCATATTTAATTTAATACATAGCTATGTAATAAATTATGGTTACTGTATGGTTGGTTAGAATATTCACTCAAAAGCTAAGCCCCTGCGTTTAGTATTCCAGCTTCTAGTCTTGATTATCACTTATCAGTTACTGAACCTTCTCACGATTTCACCCCTTTGAACCTCAACAATATCAGTCTAGCTCATGTAGGATAAGGTCACAGATTTACCTTGGAAAAAGGATATATTGCATAAGCTTTACACATTCCTTATTGTGTCTGCATACACTGGTCATGTCTCAAGCCAATCTATCCATTGTAGATTATTGCAACAGAATAAACTAAGCCAATGGTATTTACTTTATTAATCAATTTAAATATTCATGTTAGCTCATTATTAAACCCATACCAGTATAATCCCTTAATAGTAATTTATATACTTTAAATATTGTTACAAAGCTTCCGATATGAATATATATATATAGATTCAGAAGGTCAATATCTCATTACTTTGCAATAGTTAAACAGAACAGATAAAATATGTATTGCCTGAATACTAAGTGAATGTGACAACACACGATGCTCAAACATTACCTGTGTCTGCCATGCAGGTGAGTGAGAGAAGAACATGAGTTGGTATGTCTTCATCCTCAGCAAATTTATCAAGGTACTCACACAAGACATCTACCAGCTCAGCTTCCATAGACTGATCCTGTCAAAATATTAAATAAATAAACACTGATATTCATTTTGTTTTCAAAATATGCAAACAAAATGTATAGTATATCCATAATGCATAGATGCCTATGTTATTGGATCAAGGATAATGAATAGATTCTTTATTCCTTTATTACCACACCCAACTTCTCACTGATGTGGTAATGCATCATCCCAGAGAACAATGAACAATGTAACAAAAGAAATTATTTATTATATACCACTTACACTATACGGTGTCAAGAGATAAACAAGCAATTCAACACTACGGCAAGCCACTCCTACACAAGACCAGGTGTACAATGCTTCTCCTAAATTTTCATATACAGAACAAAAATATATTAACTTCCTTCTTACAAACCACTTCCAACCAGCATAGTCCTTTACTATATTCTGTGCATAACTCCTCTATAATATTCACATAATGAAAACTTATTAAGTTTTAAAACAGGCACAAGGAAGCTTTTTTTTAGTAAGAATGGAAGTGAGAAATTTTAAGTAATTGTTAACTAACCTGGACTGTATCATAGGAATTCAGAAGATTCAGAAGGAAGCCTGTGGCTACGAGGCGCAGTTGGTGATCATCGGCAGTATTGGGAAGGTTCGCTGCACGCTGAAGGAGACTAAGTAATTGACTTGCACCACCAGATTCCATTACACTGACACGGCCACCATCTGGAAGGAACACTGTAGTCAAGGAAATATTTTAACAAATTATTAGATCAAATTTAAAACCATCACTTGGTACCTCTGTAATGCTAATCCCTTCATATAAATGAAATAAAAAAAAATTGTGCACAGATAAATTCATGCTGCCAAAATTTTTAAAACTATCCTTTCCTTGTATCAGCAGTTACATTAGCAATACTCCCCATCATGCATATCAGCAAGTTATCTAATGGAAAATGGTAATAAACCTAAAAACAAAGCATTCCTACTAGAGTGCAGCTGTGAACAGCATATCTATGTTTTATAGAATAGCCACCAGAGTGGAAGGAAAGAACATCCCTTCAACAAGCAACAAACATAGGCTGAAAAGACATTTCCATAAATTGCCACAAGGGCAAACAGTTAATCAAATGTGGCCAAGAGTCTTTAGGTACAATAATGTTTAGGTTAAGAGTTGCATTTCTATGAAGGCCCTCTCAGCTACCCAAGATACATGCTATTGAACCGTACATGGTTTAATAATTTTATGAGCCCCTACAGAAGACCTGAATTTGGCTGATTGAATTGAGCCAAGGAAGTCTGGGAATCTAGGATCATCACAGTACCTGAGAAAAAACAGAAAGGCAAGAGTGCACTAGAACAAACAATTGCATGGAAAATATTGGCAACACAGTCCCTAACTATGTTTGGGACAGTGAATTATGTAAGCAATCTTTACTCGAGTTGAACTATTAGTCTGTTACTCATGCACATTACCAGGTGGCAGCACCAGCCACTGGTGGTCTTCTGATGCCACGTCCACTCATTCTCGCACTTGGTGTCCTGTTGACAAGAGCCTCTTTTGCTGGCATCTTTTTTTTTCATCCACCCCTTTGTTAAATATCTCCAGTGTTCTTAAAATGGCCACCACATTCACCTCTGGAATCTGTGGTGTTTAAACTGTGTTCTTTCCTTTCTGTTTTTTGTTTTTTTGGGAGTATTTCTTCTCTGAACTTATTTCTGAAAGTAGTCTTTTTGTTGGTTCTTGCTTAGTTTTTCTTTTCTTTTCATCCAGACTTTCCATTTCTTAATTTTCTAAATTTTGCATCTTTTGTGGTGGATAACAAGTTTGGCCTTCTGGAGGGAGTTCATGGTGACTGATGCTTGATTTGTTCAACCTGAGGTACACCACATAGTCTTATGATAGTTCTCTGTCACGAATTGCATGCCACGCAGGATTTTCATTTGAAAATGCTTTTGGCTGACCTTGTGTCCCTCTTCCCTTAATACATGATACAGTTGTCTTGGGCAGTCTGGCATGTGGCCAAGTCAGTTGCCTGCCTTTCCTCATGTGCATGATGTTGATTGCATGAGAGCAAGATTGAGTGTATATGTGTGTACCACCTCTGGTAACATTGTTAGGATCCCCAACCAACCTTGGAGAAGAAAAGAAAATGCATCCAAGAAAACCTTAGTTTTTCCCTAGATATTTTTGTATTATTTTCTTCTGCAACCCACATTTTTCAATTAACAATTTCTTAATTTAATTAGTAAAACTGTGTTACAGCTTACAAGAAAAAGACACACATCACCCTATTATTCATTCTACTACTGTATATGCAAAATATTTTAGATGCTGTATATAAATATTTATCTATGCAATAATATACCAGCAAGAAGATTTTTGTTTTAATTTTTACAAACTTCAACTGACAAAGTGAAATTGAAACTTGTTAAACAAGTGTTCTTAAAGAACATGAATACAATACAATACTAAGTCAAAAGTTTCAGAACTAAGGATTACTACAACCACTCCTTCCCAAATACCATTATCAACATCATGCCATTTAATAGCACCAACTTCAATTTGTCAAGCTTCCTTACACTAAAGCCAAGACATTACAGGTATTTTAATCATGTACGTTCTAAGTACTCTACATGCACTAGGGCAGGTAGCTAAAATATGGGAAAGAGCTGCAGGTACTGAGAAGGTTATGAAATGTAGCAGAGGAAAAGAAATGAATGAGTAGAAAATTTCTCAATAGAACATTGTGAAGTTTTACTTTGCCTGGAGGAGGACAGACATGGTGAATGAAGCATGGATTAAATTATGAACAGCACACATCTGGATACGAGACCTGGCCAGGGAAGACTGATTGAGCACCAATCCTGAATTGTCTGCCTTGGTCACTCAGCAGTAATTAGGAAGGTGGTTGTAAACAAACTGATGGGTTGTGTTCCAGAGAAATAAAGTAAGGTAAGACTTAATATAATATATAAGAAGAGAAAGCTCTAAACCTGCTAACAGTAAGTCAAAGTCATCAACTCTTATGTCCACCTGTGTAAAAAGTGGTAGGGAATAAGGCTAGATGATATCAGTTTGTTAAAAGGCATGGATGTTTGATATTTGTCTTAAATTTTAATGACGACTCATAAGAAGTACTTTATATTTATATGAAGCACTTCTTTATTTATATTTATTTTACATATTTTTATCTTTGCAATGTTAATATGAATCTGTATCTAAACAGTTCAGTGTTGACACAATTTAAGATGAAAGCTCTACTGAGAGACTGCTTTTGTCTACACACTTCCATTAATTTGATCTGTTTCCACACAAACTGTAATACAAGTCATACTTGTAGCAAAAGTCATATTCAAGCTGTAACCACCAAATTAGTTTAATGAGCTTGGTTGCTTGCTACATTCATATTTTGCTTGCTGCAATTGTGTTTTGCTTAACACATTTTATTGTGATAAAGTCACACAATGTATTTGCTATATCCTATTTGTACTCTTCTGCTCTTTTCAATTCCAGCTGATATTTATTTTCTGATGTGAGTGTGTTAGGGTTATTTCTTAATACTTAACATTATGATAACCATTTTATTTATACTGCTTTGTTTATCTCCAATTCCTCCAGATGCTTTTGTTCTACCTGTTTAGTTACTACTATATTTTTCACAATAATCTCTCTCTTGAATGCTAGACATTCCACTCCCAATGAAGGTGAGAAACAGAACAATGCTAGTTTATGCATGTACAAATGCTAGGAATAATTGATAGTTTCCACATACTGCATTAAGAACCTTAGTCAATAAAATACTCATGAGTATGAACATGTAGACACAATTGAGACTGAATGGGAGGACAGGCTGGAGACAGATTGATGTTACGGAATATTACTGGATACTGAGTATGTTGGTATCAATTTAAGAAATGTGCAATGCTGTACAGACAGGAATGTTTGAGGGAAAGGAAACATTGAAAAAGCAACCTAGAGGATAGTCTATGAGATAATACAATCAATGCATTTCTGAATATGTGCAATTTTACTTACAGGCATGCAGAATAAAACACTAATAGTGTGATTATTAAAGATAAAGAAGGAATTTATCCTATTGGCCTACTTTACTTTATCATTGGCCAATTCATCTATGTCTTCATGCTTCATAAAAAATCTCTCAAACATCTATTCACCTACAGCTATTTGATACAAATACAAATGTAAATAAAATTTTGGATACACAAATTAAAATATTATAAAAATGAACGAGGAACAGAGAAAGGGATTAGCAGCGAGAAATGCAAAGTATGGTGCAGCAGACAGTACCATTAAACCTGCATTTGTAAGTGTGCAATGAGGGGCCAGCTGTCCTTAAAACTGTACTGGACCTTCAGGAGCCAAGTCATGCACCAAGCATAGCACACTCTGATGAAGGTCATAGACATAAAACCCACCATGTTCATAGCAAATATTCCCCAGTGCTCGGCAAGCCTGCAGGGCCACCTTGGTGTTGCTGCTTGACATTTTCTCCACTAAGATTGGCACTAGACCACCAGTCACACAACCTAACCGGCAACTTTCAACCTGTGAAAGGCAAAAGTTATATGTACTATCATGCAGAGTGTTAGTTGTTTTTACACTACAGAACTTGTATAGTATACATACACATAAATGAACATTATCTATATTTAAAATATACAAGATACAGTACTATAATATTTATATACTAAACAGTGCCATGACAGAATCAATGAAGGTAACAAATAGTAGAATACCCCTTCTAATAAGTCCTTACAAGCACAAATTTAATTTTTCCTCAAACCATAAAATAATAGGATACAATTTACTGTTTGCTAGTTTGAAGAAATACAATCTAACAAAACTTAAGAGTCTATTTTATAATCACAACCAACTATACCTTGGCCAACTCTGCAACTAATTCGGCCCCTTTTGCTTGAGCTTCGAGAGAAGAACTCTGAATGGCTGCCACGGTAAGAGGCAGGATACCTCCGGCTACCAGCTCTTCACATACTGTTGTGCTGTCCTCTGAGAAAAGGCAAGAAAATCATGACCAAGAGAATTATAGCATTAGAAGTGTATTATTTTCTCCAATTATAATTTTGATTTAAATATGAAAATGCTCACATTCAGATTTACTAGGCAGTTAACAAAAACTTTAAATTTACTCTAACTCACTTTCACAGAAGGATGGAAGTTCTCAATTAACAACTCAATAACAAAGTTTAATGTGAATAAAACTGGACAATGTAAACTAAATGTAAAATAAATATAAACCTGGACAATGTAAAATAAATGATTGTTTAATATAAAGCTATATTTTTAATACACATACATAAAGGAAATCGCTTGGCTTTGAATGACAAGCCTTAAATGATAAATAGGTTTTATTATGAGTCCTTTTGCACCTTGGAGCCAAGTGGCAAAAGCAAGTTGGTTAGGAGGGGGGGAGCAGAAGGCATGGGAGGATGTGCAGAATACACCCCTTGAAAAACAGAGGTGCAATAGGTACTCTGAGAGAGAACTCTATCAACATCAGAGGCCCGAGACTGTTCAAGATGCTCCCACTACACATAAGGCATAACTTGATATAAGAGAACTTGATAAACACCTCCAAGGGATACCCGATCAACCAGGCTGTGATACATGTCAGGCTGTGAGCAGTAGCATTCAACAGCCTGGTTAACCAGTCCAGCAACCAGAAGGCCTGGTTGGGAACCGGGTCAAGGGGACGTTGAGCCCCGAAATCATCACAAGGTAACCACAAGGGGAGCCCAGTGGTAAGGAAGTTGGTTAGGATTGGGGAGCCCAGTGGTAAGGTAGGTGGTTGGGGGGGGGGGAGAAATCCGTAAGAAGGCTTATTTGACGAACATCTATACATTAGGTGCAAGAGTTAGGACTGGGAGGAAGGACTGCCAATCAGACAATGTACAGTATATAGCAAGATATAATTTAAAGATTATCATAATAAGGGTAAAGGGTAGAAAATAAAAGATTTATACAAGTAAAACATACAATTTTGGAAGCAATTCTTGAAAATGGCTTGAACCAAAGAGCTCATCCAATCTTTTGCAACTTTAATACTATTATGAACACAATTTTTGAAATATTACACTAAATACAAAAATAACTGAATCTACATGTATGTAGATATTTTGGAGGTACATACTACACTTATTAATGTTTCCAATATTGCTCAGTCATCCATTCTTTCAAAAGCTTTGATTTTATTAAGTGATTCTAAAATATACTACAAGAGGGCTACATAACCAAATAACAATAGGGATATTCCTTGCACCACCAAATACGAGCTTTAAAAATCTCAAACTGACATGCATAAGCATTCTTCAATATCAAAGAAATTGCATATTTTAAATAAAAATAATTTAGTGAAAATTTGACAATATCCCATTGGGAGATAACTAATGAGTTCTAAGACCTCTGTTGTAGTTGTGAAAAGTCAAAATCTTGATCCTCTAAAAATTGTAAACGAAAATAAATTAAATTGTGATACCTGTTAGAAAACAATTGAAAGTCAATGCACATTACAAATATAAACTTGGCACAACTTGTTCGAGACCAAAGTCTGGTACTTGGGCTATTATCTTAAGGTTTGATATTTCCAAGACATAATTAACCACTTTTAAATGTTAAAGACATTATATAGTGGTATTTAAGATACTGTACTATATCACCAAGCAAAATAATCTGTAATATATTACTGCATTGCTAAGTACTTGTTGACAATTCCAAGAGTTTTTACTCTCACAGACTTTCCCCGAGGCCAAGCTTTCCTGGTTGTTCTTGCCTGAAATATGAACTGTACAACATATAAATATTAGAAACAAACATTATGGGCAATTACTAATGCTGTGACCGTTAATCACCAAGTTCTAGAAGCTGGTTTATTGCTATCATTTCTTCCTACAATTACTCACCCAATTCATGAAGTTGGTTGATCAGCTTTTCAAATGGCTCTGGAGTTGGGTTCCCTGACTCCACGCGCATCTTCTCGAGACTAGCAGTCAATTCCTCTACAATAATAACAATATAATAATGTAATCAGAATTAAAATGATTTTACATTAATCAAACATTGAACAAAACCACTAACCTCCAATATACAAAAAAATACATTTGGGAACCAATATAAGTTAAATTTTTGTATATAAAATGAAATGTAAAACTTGCTAAATGAAGTGAGGTTTTGCTAAAACAAAGATGGAAAGAAAACTGTACAGTATATTATGAGGTTTACCAAGCCAAAAGAACACCTTGATCATTATTACAGCAATGAGTATACCTTTAGGTACCTGTACTAGAGATGTAAATAATAAACATAAAATTTTATGTAATTATTTTGATATTTTTCAATATTAGCAGTGTCAGAGCTCAGTCCACCATCATACGGCAAGGTTTTTCATAGGAACCTGTACACTGTGGAACTTAGACAAGCTTAGAGTTTTGTTACTCTCATGGCTATGCCTGAATCTAGGCTTCCTTGCTTGCTGGTGATAGGCTGATCAGAGGTTCTGATCAGGCTATTTTCTACTTGCAAGGCCATAATGCCACATTTCTAAAGTACTAGTACAGTACTGTAAGTAATTAAATATATTTTGGTAAAAAAATAAATGATACACTAGATGAGATGACTCAATAATCCAGATCATTTGGGATGGACCAAAATTGTGTGGAGATCAGTTACCTGATTTTATTACAGTGCATATAAAAATGAAGCATATAAAAATGAAGCAATAAATGAATGAAACATCCTTTTTCTGGTGGGTTCCTAATGTGTCCCGAGCTTAACTTCAGTAATACGAACACACCAGGCCTCCGAGACCATCCACTGCCTATTGATAAGTCCAACACCTGTAGTCTTTGCTAGGCCCATCATTTGCTCACTATCCAGCAAAGTGGTGGTGGCTTTTCCTTGGAACATTAGTTCTTCCGAGGGCCATTGCACAGATTTTATATACGCGCCACGATTACGCTTATGCTACCCACATTGTGTGTGCCTTAGCATTCCATTTCTCTCCATCTGTGACCAGGGTTGCTATCCCTGGGGTTGGCTAGCATTTCCTTATACTGTACATTACCTCATTAGATATCTCTGCTCTGAAGGGTTGTGGGCTATGTCCTACATAAGTAGTCGCTTCACTTCTAGGCAATTCATGAGATATATTTTCCCATAGGGTCTGTTGACCATGGTCGGGGTACTGGGTTTGCTAAACTGAGGCATTTTCCGTGCATTAAGCACACCTGACTAACAGTGCAAAGGTCCAGTGTCTCATCCCTGCTGGGTTTCTTCTCTGGTATTCATTTTTAGCCGAATTGTTATACTGTAGCTTCCAATTCTAATTCTGCACCAACCTCTTTGATTTGTATTCTCTTAAGTAATGGTTTAAAAACATTGAAACCCATCATTCTGTATTGCAGCCAACTGGGATCCAGAATCCTATGCCCCACAGATGATCCATTGGTCAGCTATTAATCTTTGTTTTGTTCATGCTGCCTTCTTCTGTAGCTGCCTTTTGGGCTGCTACAGTACTACCTTACAAGACCAGGCTTTCTGTTGTAAGCTTTATGCCCATCTACAGTGGGTGTTGTGGATCCCAATCCTCCACTGTTTTTTTCTGAGTAAGTTTATAGGCATTATTAGAAGAACTCAATTTGGAGAACACACTACAGTATATTATTATTATCTTTTTTGTGATACCCTTGGACTAAATGATTCTGACCCCACTGTTATTTAGATACAGAAATTCTTGTCTTTGGAAGTGAGAAAAAAATGGAGGTGTTAAGTCGGCAGACTTCACTCCACAAAATTAGGTTTACCACATGTCTGATTCTTCCTTAACTTATTCTCCTTTTTCAGTCCATAAGGCTCCAGTTGTCAAATACCAGGTATCTAAAACTGTCTGGAGCTTTTGACCTGTTCCTTATTCAACAACACTTATCATGGAAGCTCTGAAAAACTTTAAATTCATACCAACCTTCTTGAAGGTAAAACTACTTCATATCCATGAAAGTTAATGCTACTTCATATCCATGAAAGTTAAGGGACAGTTGGAACAAAAGTGTAGCTGGGCTTAGTGTGTAAAATTCTGTGCTAAAGTAAACTGTCAACACAGCACATGCTTACAATATTTGGAGAAAAAGTGAACGAGACCCTTGTAAGATTTATCTTGTTTCAACTGGATTGTTCCAAGTGGGGCACCAAATTGGAATAATGAGGAACCTTGAGTGAAATACATGAATGATATGTTGATGCTAATTTCTATGATGCATTTTGATCAGTTCAGCAATCTAACCTAAAAAAAAAAAGTGAATCAAATATCGATGGCTTCATAAATAACACCACTCAGAACTATTTAAAAAATTGCTTAATTTCTTTCTATTCCCTCTCACAATGAAAATATTCCACAAGTTTTAATGCTAATGGAAATCCATTGGACAAAGGAAAGGAACTACAGTACTTAATTGTTTAAGTGCTGAAAAGTATTACTGTATACACACACAACATAATTCCAAACAAACTCCCTGCAAAGACTTTCATGTCTTAAAGCGTAATCAACCAGACAGCTAAGAATGAAACTACAGAGAAATATACATATACACTAGAAAAAAAAAAGCCAGGAGGACTGATGAATGGAAAAACCTACACATAGTGACAATGAAAATTTAAACTACAAAAATGTTTGGTCAGCACTTTTTTTATACTCAACGTAGATGACATGTAGTACATAGAATATTACAGTATATACAGTACTCATGTTTATTCATTACTTCATGCTGGTATTGTATTAATGTACAGTATCATTATTATATATCATTATAATAATGCGAGTTGGCAGATAATGAACTGAAACTGTCTGGAGTGTCAGCTTTTTTAAAGTTCGAATATGTTAACTCAAGCTAAACCTAGCTGAACTTTATATATGAAAATGTAAAATTACAAAAAATATGAAAATGAAAAATTTAAACAAAAAGATACATATTTGGTGTAAGGCAAAGCTGCCCCTTGATCTGTTATTCCACTAACAGTACATTCTTCTCCTAAATGAAAATAAACATTGCCACTTAATTCTCATTTAATGTGCTTCATTTGATATAAAAAGTACATTTTACCTTTGCCAAACATTAGCAAATACAAAATATTTGAATTCTTATACTTTACAAGTTTACCAATGCATTGAAATTGAAATAAGTTTATTGAGGTAAAATACACACAAAGGGTTGAGGTAGCTCAAGCTATTCTCACCCCGTTCAGTACATCTTGTTAATACATACATATAAACACATCACAAACAATAAACATATTACCAAACATTCTGAGAGATAAACATCTACATTTCCTAACCAATGCATTGAAAGACAGTAAATTGAATTAAGTAATCTTGACATATGTGCTCAATAATATATGCCAAAAGGAATTTAATAGCAGCATATTATTGTATTAACCCATAATATACGAGGGTGAGAGCAGACGACAGCAGCACCTGGCCCTCGGGACTCACCCATAGTGGTGGGTGTTGGGGCGCTCAGTGTCACTGCTGGATCACCACCAGGCTCGGCCTAACCACTTGCACGCCCTGGGCTCGACTCCTCCTCGTCCTCACCGCTCACTGACAACCAACATGGGCCACTTATGACGAGGCAAATTTCTTTGTCTTTTAAAGGAACGCAACCGCGAGCTTGGTGAGTGTGGCTAGACACGCCTCTGTCGCCCCGTCACCTCTGTCACTGACGGTCTTGGCCGCTCCGCCGCCCTCCGCGATCCTCCCAGTGACTCACCCACTCTCCGGACTAAACTATGCCGTCTGCCGACTCTACATGAGCCATATGACCAGATATTCAGACCGGTTTAACTGTTTGTCAATGATTGTTTACACGATGGATGGTCCGAGACTGTGGGTGTGGTGGCCCGGGGTGGCCACGGGCGCCAGACGGTACCAGTCTCGGGTGATCTCCGGCATAACAGGTGACACCATCACAAACAACCTCTGTGTAAAACAAATTTAATAAAAATAAGTCCAAGATCTACCATGTAGAGTGAGAGCACGCTAGTACAAGTTATAAATGTGTTGTATAATTGAATAAAGTAATAAAACTATGTGACAGTAGTTATGGAGGATGCCGTTCAAACGAATAGGGTCGGTTTAAGCCTAATTCAAAAGGATGTGTAATAAATACTATACAAATTAAAGTTTGCCAAAATTTTAATTAATATTCGCATATTATGAACTTAAAGCATGAACTCGTAAGGAAAAATAATACACGAATATATTTCGGAATAGATAAATAATTATATATATATAATTATATATATATATATGACATACACATTAAATACATAATGTTTAAATAATTGAAACCAAGTCAGTCTATGAAGAAGCGTGCAGTGTGTTATCCCAGGGAGTGAGCGTGGACCACATGGAGCTCAGTGGGTGAAAAGCTTGCGAGTGTGAGTCACTCTGTACACCAGTGATCCCTCACTCACTAATGTCAACACCCCGGGGGCCGCACCCATGTTGGCTACCCTGTCTCTTGTTGGCCACGCCCATGTTGGCTACCCTGTCTCTTGTTGGCCACGCCCATGTTGGCTACCCTGTCTCTTGTTGGCCACGCCCATGTTGGCTACCCTGTCTCTTGTTGGCCACGCCCATGTTGGCTACCCTGTCTCTTGTTGACCACGCCCATGTTGGCTACCCTGTCTCTTGTTGGCCACGCCCATGTTGGCTACCCTGTCTCTTGTTGGCCACGCCCATGTTGGCTACCCTGTCTCTTGTTGACCACGCCCATGTTGGCTACCCTGTCTCTTGTTGGCCACGCCCAAGTTGGCTACCCTGTCTCTTGTTGACCACGCCCATGTTGGCTACCCTGTCTCTTGTTGGCCACGCCCATGTTGGCTACCCTGTCTCTTGTTGGCCACGCCCATGTTGGCTACCCTGTCTCTTGTTGGCCACGCCCATGTTGGCTACCCTGTCTCTTGTTGGCCACGCCCATGTTGGCTACCCTGTCTCTTGTTGGCCACGCCCATGTTGGCTACCCTGTCTCTTGTTGGCCACGCCCATGTTGGCTACCCTGTCTCTTGTTGGCCACGCCCATGTTGGCTACCCTGTCTCTTGTTGGCCACGCCCATGTTGGCTACCCTGTCTCTTGTTGGCCACGCCCATGTTGGCTACCCTGTCTCTTGTTGACCACGCCCATGTTGGCTACCCTGTCTCTTGTTGGCCACGTCCATGTTGGCTACCCTGTCTCTTGTTGGCCACGCCCATGTTGGCTACCCTGTCTCTTGTTGACCACGCCCATGTTGGCTACCCTGTCTCTTGTTGGCCACGCCCAAGTTGGCTACCCTGTCTCTTGTTGACCACGCCCATGTTGGCTACAATGTCTCTTGTTGGCAAAGCCCATTTTGGCTACCCTGTCTCTTTTTGTCCACGCCCATGTTGGCTACCCTGTCTCTTGTTGGCCACGCCCATGTTGGCTACCCTGTCTCTTGTTGGCCACGCCCATGTTGGCTACCCTGTCTCTTGTTGGCCATGCCCATGTTGGCTACCCTATCTCTTGTTGGCCACGCCCATATTGGCTACCCTGTCTCTTGTTGGCCACGCCCATGTTGGCTACCCTGTCTCTTGTTGGCCACGCCCATGTTGGCTACCCTATCTCTTGTTGGCCACGCCCATGTTGGCTACCCTGTCTCTTGTTGGCCACGCCCATGATGGCTACCCTGTCTCTTGTTGGCCACGCCCATGTTGGCTACCCTGTCTCTTGTTGGCCACGCCCATGTTGGCTACCCTGTCTCTTGTTGGCCACGCCCATGTTGGCTACCCTGTCTCTTGTTGGCCACGCCCATGTTGGCTACCCTGTCTCTTGTTGGCCTCACCCATGTTGGCTACCCTGTCTCTTGTTGGCCACGCCCATGTTGGCTACCCTGTCTCTTGTTGGCCACGCCCATGTTGGCAACCCTGTCTCTTGTTGGCCACGCCCATGTTGGCTACCCTGTCTCTTGTTGGTCACGCCCATGTTGGCTACCCTGTCTCTTGTTGGCCACGCCCATGTTGGCTACCCTGTCTCTTGTTGGCCTCACCCATGTTGGCTACCCTGTCTCTTGTTTTATTCTCTTCACTTTCTCTTTTTTGTTATGTGATTTTTCGTGTATATGTGGCTTCTATTTGTACCTGCAGGATCGAGGTATTAGCTCTTGAACTCCGCCTTTCTGTTGGTTGTCTAATAAGTAATAATTCTGAATAGTCTAATAATTCTAAATGTACTTACTCCTATCCTATTTTCCTCCATTCCCATATCTGCTACATATATTTCTCTAGCACTCATACACACATCCGAAGCATGCAGCCTAAAAAGCAGCTGTTCAACTGACAGGTGCCTAGTGCACAGATGCATCAGGTGAAAGAAATTACCATTTGTTTTTGGTTCGGCCGAGAATCGAACCCGGGGCCTTGCGACTTCGACCCCGAGCGCTGTCTGCTAGGCCGCGAGTAATTGTGTGTGAAAAAGACAGAGAAGTGGGGGGGGGGAAGAGAGAGAGAGAGAGAGAGAGAGAGAGAGAGAGAGAGAGAGAGAGAGAGAGAGAGAGAGAGAGAGAGAGAGAGAGAGAGAGAGAGAGAGAGAGAGATGGACATAATATATTTTCTCTCTATGTGTAAAGATGAATCCAGACGGTGTAATGCCATGCATGTGTAATGGTATAGCATCCATCTTTATGACGATCAATAACCAAAAATTATGTTCTGGAAATAATCGATGTGTTGCTAGGCACTTGCATCCAACGACACTCGGGATCTGTGTTAACAGAGTAATGGCTGTCTTTACGAATTCAAACTTTGTTTTCTAACAAATTGAAAAAACACGCTATCAAGTTCAAGTATGTTTATCGAGACAAGAAAAAAATACATCTCAAAGGGATAGTGTAACTTAGGCTATTTCTAGCCCTCCACGCTATCAATGTCACTGAGGCATAGTGAGAAAAGCATTACTGTAGATGAGCCGGAGACGTTAGCAAGAGACTGTCTAGACGGTGTAGTAGATGCCAGGGGGGAAGGGGCTGCAGGATTCTTTGATGAGAGGATCCTGGCAACCATGAAGGATATATGAGACTCCTGCTGGGAGGGATTAACACGGCTGTCAAGACCAAGGTGAGCGTGCAGGAGTATGCAGCTCCCTTCAAGCCAGTCACCTCCACCATCCCGCCAGCCAAGCTGGACTATGTTCTGCCTAGTATGATCAGGGCTAGAATGATCCACGCTTGGCCTAGAATGAACAGCGCTCTGGCATGATTATGAATACACTGCCTATGATGATTAGTACTGGAATGAACTATACTCTGCTTAGAATGATGAACGTTCTACAAGAGGTGAACAACGCGTTGCCTAGGATGATTAACACTGTCTAGGATGATCAATATGCTCGCAAACACCAGACAAAAATGATTCGATTTCCCTAAGCAGAAAAACTTTTTTCAGACGATAGCTTTTATATAATTGATTGTTGAAATTCCTGAAGCTATCTAATCATTACCTTCTGACCCTCTTATAGATCTTGTATTACATCATCAATATTCTTCTCATTTTTCTCATATGTATTCACAATGGAAGTAATGGGTTCAATGACTTTAATATTTCCATTGCAAATTAAACATTAAATATCAAAACACTGGACAAATCATTATGTAAAATGAGGAGACCTTTGATAAGCCGCACGCTTCCTGTCCCCGCCAAGGCTAATAAAGAAATGGTGGCCCTCAGGAAAATTCAAGTAAATTCAGGTAAATATCTTAAATGTTCAATAATGGTCATGCTAACCTTGCTTATAGATACACGAATATTTTCTTTGCTTTTTAAATACTGTATTCCAAATACTCTTAAATGTTTAAATTTAATTAAATTTAAATATCAAACACTAAAGACATTTAAATATTTTGTTAACGTCACAAGACTACCTACTGATGTTGACTAATACTAATGACATAATAATTGTAACTTACAGGCTTAATAGAGGTGTAATTACACTTAACCATTAGGTATAAAGCAACAAGTTGCCAACAAGTGGAACTGGGCGTAACTATAGCAACAGATCTTCATAACGTAATATTTAATAAAAATAAATCCAGATGTCGGAGACAGGAAGTATGCACCGAGGCTCATCTAGGTCACCCGAGCCCTAATACAAATACAAAATACTTATCTTTCCCAGGAAGCAACCCCTCAATTGCCTAACTCACGAGGCAAGTGAACAGAGGCATCAGGTGGCAGGAAATGCGACCAACCGTTTTCTGACCAGAGTCCTTCGGTTGTGGGTCGACTATTATGCTCAGATTCGTCTGTACTCATGGTCTTTAAAGCTAGAAGTCTCAAATATTTCCGGGACCTTCCCACATTAAATAGGAGTAGACGAACTGCAAATTATCTACTCAATGTTTTATTTTTTGTTTTAAGGGAAGGTGTGGCTGAGTGGAATCCCTGTCTTATAGGCAGTGGCTAAGCATCGTGTGTTTACTTAAAAATTGTGCGGTATGGTTTTTATGGCTTCATTCTTAACTCATCCAGCCCGTCCTCCAAAAATGGGGTGGTAAATGTAAGGAGACAAATAAGTGCAATTATGTACTATTCATAGCAGTTAGGAATTGTACTTATTTTCACTTAGTATTAAATCGTACTGTCAAATATATTGTGAATATTCATAATCGGGGATCCCGGTTTGATTCCAGGACGGGACGGAAATGGTTGGGCACGTTTCCTTGCCAGAAAAGCCAGGGGCCAACTCTTGACAGTTCTATATCCATTCAGCCAGGCTTCCTTCAAAAATGCTCCAATGAAAAAATGCATAAAACCATATTTTAAGCATGAAACAGTGAATAAAATTTCATATTAGCAATTTTGTATAACTTTAATGGTTAAGGAAGTAGAGTCCATTGTCTCTCGATGACACATAATGTCTACATTTATTACCTCTTCTATCTGAATTTACCCGAGGGCCACTAACACTCTAGTGGCTTCGACGAGGACAGGAAGCCGGTGATTTATCAAAAATCCCCCGTTAGTCCTGATGATTTTATCCAGCTGGATAATTAACTGCAGGTTTTGACATTTATTTTTCGGTATGTAGGTGATATCCATGGGTGAAAAGCATCTCCTGTTTTCTGTCCTGCATTGTGGCTTGTTGAAGGGAAGGAAACTAGCAGAAGCGCCAAACCATTACGACTATATAGCACTTGGAAGGGATCAGGATTAGACTACGGGCTATTCATGCTCGTGCCACCTCTTGGATGGCTTAATCCTCATTATTTAATCAGGATAAGGATTTGGGATGGGACAGGGAAAAAGGAATGATTCCTACCCACTTGGACGGTCGGGGATTGAACGCAGATCTGCATGAAGCGAGACTGTCGCTATACCGTCCAGCTTTGTTGGGTTTGAATTAGCTGTTGTCCCTTGCATGTGTTACATATGAACTTTTAAAGAAGTGAAGGGAATATCCTCCAAATTCTTCGGTATTTTAAAATTTTCGATGAGATCAGCCCTGTGGCCCTCAACCGTTCCTGGAAAGAGAATAGACTTTGTTCTGGAATGATTTTTGTCGCCGTGTTGAACTTTCCCCATAGTAGATGTATATGTCGTGAAGATGCGTACCTCATCAGAGTATAGCAGGGGACATGTGGAATGCGGAATATTTGTGAACGTACTGTGGGCTATACATTCGTTTGGTGACTATACCTATACCGTAGTTTAAAAGAACGAAAACTGGGATTATATATATATATAGGATGATGTTACTTGAAACAGAGCTATTGTTAAGTGCTATACAGAACCTGCATGGCTGCTGCTGGCTGCTGCTTGTGCGCTGTTTTCCCGCAGAATACTGGAAGGAGCTCGTCAACAGGAGTTTCCATAACCGAGGCGATTATACTCACGTAATTAAATATTTTTTGTGTATACTCATGTTTTTGGGATTTACTTTTAAACAGGGTATAGGTTGGACAATTTTTTTTAATTCATCAGGGAGTGAGTTCCAAAGACTGGGGTCCTTTTATTTGCATGGAGTATTTTCAGTGTTTAATATATTAATATACATCTATTTCCAATCTCCGTTTACCTTATCATTGGTTTACCTTCAACGTTTTTAATACCGGTACTATTAATTAAAGAAAAACGAGGAGCAATAGTGTTTTGTTGCCGCAAGAGTTAGAGCCGGTGTGTCCGGGTTGCCAGCACACAAGGCCACCCCGGCCTCCAGCAGACAGGTCTGCTCTACCTCGTTTAGTGACGCTGAAATCACCCTTACATGCGTCTTCAGGAATCTCAAGATTTTTTGTCCTTATGGTACCACTTCTAGCCCCTTATAACGCCACAGAAGTCGTCTCAACACACAGTACTATTCAAGTTGTCTCCGGTAAGGATTCTCTTCACAATATCTGTATTATATGCTTGTCTTACTTACAATAAGTTTTCAGTAATTGGTGAGACTGATTCAAGGTAAGAGGTAGATGGCAATAGACATACCGAGAAGTGAAGCCAGTGATGATACAGGAGCTACAGGAGACGCTACAAGTTTGTCAAGCTACAACAGCTGAACGCGGCGCTTACACGTGTCAACTAATCTGATGTATTAAGCTCCACACAAGGTAATTGTAGACTTATTGATAACTTGTCGATAAGCTGGTACAGAATCTACGGGTGCCATTGTCATAATTATTCGTAATTACACTGATAAGGGAAGCAGTGGGGGAGCTTGTATGTACTATGGTGGGGATAGTCGTGGTGTATGGTGGGGATAACTGTGGTGTATGATGGAGATAATGATGGCAGACAATATATAAATTCCCTAGTAAAGAATGAACACTGCTAAACGGCGGATGTTGTGCTGATGAGCAAGACTTTTGAAGTAGTGCGGCTTTAAAAATAGAGATTGGGATACCCAGGTCTATTTCAATTTCCTACTTGTTATGTGATTTACGTAAAAAACAGGAAATGCTGTATTTTACGTGCAGTATTAGCTTCCTTGTGTCATTATGATGGGCAAATTCTTCGCGCCTCCGTGACAGAGGCGAGGCGAATATAGCACCTCAAAAATAAAAGTTCTACCAGCATCCAACTTGGAAGCACACACGAGGAAAATTCCATGACAATTACACAACTCCTAACCGGAAATCTAAAAAATGGAGGTGGTTGTGTGATGTGTGATGGGGAGGTACTGTATAGTTGTGTGGTTTGGTGGTAAGCGGAGGTAGTGATGTGATAGTAGGGGGACGTAGGTGTGTGGTGTGGCGGTAGGGGGACGTAGGTGTGTGGTGTGGTGGTAGGGGGGAGGTGTGTGGTGTGGTGGGACCAAGGGTATGTAGGTGTGGTGGTAGGGAGGGGGAAGGTGTGTGGTGTGATGGTAGGGGGGGGGAGGTAGGTGTGGTGGTAGGGCGATGTAGGAGATAGTTGTGTACTCACCTGGTTGTGCTTGTGGGGGATTGAGCTTCGGCTCTTTGGTTCCGCCTCTCAACTGGTGTACAGGTTCCAGTCTATTGGGCTCTTATCATATCTATGCTTGAAACTGTGTATGGAGTGTCTCCATATTACTTCTTAATGCATTCCATTTGTTAACTATTCTGACACTAAAAAAGTTCTTTCTAATGTCTCTGGCTGATTTGGGTACTCAGTTTCCACCTGTCCCCTCTAATGTGTGTGCCCCTTGTGTTATCTATTGTTAAGGCTTAGTAACCTTCCAAAGATTGATAGGCCTTGAGGCCAACACCAAATCAAAGTTTTGTCCACATTCAGATGCAACCACTATAACCTAGTGAAGTGTTAATGTACTTTTACATGAAAGGAAACACTACAGTAAATTATTTATAGATGCAACAATAATATTGTCCATGTAGATTCATTATGAGGTCTATCAAGTATACACTGCATAATGGGCTTCCAATTATGCCCAACAAATGGCCCAAAGGTGTGTATATTAAGGTGTAGATTCATGTGGAATGAATGCACCACACCCCCTCTGAACCTGAAAATTAATTCTACACAAAATGTAAATTTGGATACTTGTTAACAAGTTGTTAGACTGAGTACAGCAAAAGAATAGTGTACTGTACATGCACACACTGTATGACTTGCATACAAATTAACACAATTTTTGAAAGTATGTCTGTACAGTACCTGGATGGGGTTCTGGAAGTTCTACTCCCTAAGCCCTGCTCATTGTACTTATCTACATATGTATTACAGGCCGTACAGGATGGTTCTGCTAGATCGACACAGAGCAATCAAGTTTCTGGAGGATGTCGGAATAGTGGATGGAGAAGCCCTACTTGCCAGAGATCCACTGATTTTTATCAATACCCTCATTGGCTCCTTCATGACTCACCTGCCTTTCCAGGTAAACCAAGTACCTTTTAGTTATTCAAAGATTTCCAGCTGAACCAAGGACTCCCAAGTGATTCAAGAATCCCCAGGTGAATCGAGAATGTCTGGACAAGTCAGGAATGCCCAGGAGTTAGAACTTAGTCAGAACTGGCCAGAAGTCAGAAATACCCAGGAATGTCAAGGCGAGTTAGGGACCACAGGTAAGTCAAAGTAATATAACCTCATATCAAGTAAATTAATCCATTTAAAAGCATCATATCAGATGCATATTGGGTTTTGGTTGTTGGGGGACAGGAACCTGTTAGGTTTATTGGGGTCCTACTAGGATATTGACTGACTTTTTCCCAGGATGCAACCCACAACAGTTGCATCTTGGATAGCTCTTGGATACCTATTTACTGCTAGGTGAACAGAGTAGTCATTTGTAAGGAAATTTGCCTGCACATTTTGTCCTGCACAGGAATCATAGCAGGGACCATCCGAATGTGATCTGACTGTGCTAACTACTGTGTAACAAATCATCTTTTGCACAAGGTAAGGTAATTATGAGGAGAAAGCACTGCCATTATGACTATACTGTAGCACTTTGAAAGATATGAGGACAAAGTGAATGGTCAAAATAGGTACACTTAGGTTAAATATGAAGTTACACCATCTTATATGCAAAGAAGTGTGATCAAAATACACCAGTCACACTGAAATTATAAAATATATCTGCTGTTGGATCTCTTTTATAATTGAGGTTCTCGGTATTGCAGATAGTTTAAGCTATCAAAAACTAATTCTTTTCTAACATACGCTACCTTCAACAGTGTGTGAGTCTGATGGCACAGACAGTAGAGGAGCGACATGTGCCCAGCCTGGAGGAAGTGGTGGAAGCGGGTCTCAGTCTAGAGGGCGGCATCTGCTTCACCCTTAATGTCTTCATGGGCATTCTGCTGCGTACCTTTGGCTTTCATGTACAGTTCCTCGACGGTGAGCTTGTCCTCTATAGATAAATTGAGTGCCAATATAGAATCCTAAAATATTGTACCAGTAATGCTTATTTTGACATTGACTGCATGGTGTCTTCAAGACTATAATTCAGCCGAGATAACACTGCGGAATAGTTATCCATACTGAACTGATGTCTGCTAGAGGAAATGCATGCACCCCAACAGTATTAATACTAATGTCTACCTGCCTCAACAGGATCATACAGTGCATCGAAGGATCACCACACTCACATTGTATTACTCGTTAAGGATCTCCGGTAACTTCTACAGAACTTGTTGCTTATGATTAAGATTTGTTGAATTTTCAAGGCTGAATAATTTTTATATTGTATGTTTTCTCTTAATTCATATAAATGACACTATCCCATTTTTAATAATGGCCAGTCAACATGTTAAGCACCACATATCTCTGCTTGCTTGTAACTGTGATAGTTGACAAGTCAACAATTTACCACTCTTTCTACTACAGTATCATTGTTTTGCTTTCTTTTCAATTTAATGTACTATATGGACTGTAGCCACAGCTGTATACTCGTGCTGCTGAATTAGGTGACTGATATTGTGCAGGTCTCCTGAGGATGATCACTTCATCGATGTTGGAGGGGGTCATCCCTTCCTAGCAGCAGTGGCTGTGGACAGCCTGCCGGTCACTTTCCATCAAGCCGGTCTAAAGTACACTTATTGCAGGAGAGGTGACCTAGTGCTCCGTTTTCACCATGAAAATCGTAATCCTGAGACTGGACAGGTAAGCATAGCCACATCTTCATCAAATATGTTTGAAGTGTATACTGAATTGTACATTTATACCAATATATAATGCTGCTGACGATGTAACATCTAACCCTTATTAACCTGCACACCCACTCGTAAAACATTTTTTTCTGACAATGGGGAAAAAACCTTGGAATCATTTTAGTTTGGCAGTAGTGAGGTGCACATGTTGAAAACATCAAATCCGATAAAGTAATTAATTTTTCAAGCATTTTAAACTACTGTATTTGTAAAACTTTGTTCATTTGTTTAATTGTGATTTCATGATATCTCTTAGTGATTAACACTAATATCATTCAACCCTTAAACTGATCTTATCTTTAAGCAATATGCTGATGACTCTCCTATTGTCTGTAGGTGAGTAATAGATGTCTCCTTATATTTTATTTTTAAATATTTTTACTCTTCCTTACATACCTATATAATATACAGTACTTGAATGGTGGAGGATGAATACAAGTATGATGCTTAATATCACTAATGCACAGAATGTTTTGGGCATAAAGTAAAAAAAATTATGAGAAAAATGGTTCGAAGCAGAGGCATCGGTAAATGTATGATAACGCACCCAACATGGTGCCATTTTTTTAATAATGTCCAGGAAGGTAACTAAGGTTTTCAGGATTTTCCCATTATGACAAATGATTGCCAGAGGTCAAATGACACTTTAAATATTATGAGGCACATTAAATCACCTACAGACAGCAGGAGCATCATCGGTATATTAAATATGATAGGATCAGTTTAAGGGTTGAATGATAGTGATTATCACTAATAAGAGATATCGTGAAATCACAATCGCAACAATCATTAGCTTTGTTTATCTAGGGAGTGCTTAATTTCCTTTTAGTGGTTGCTTGTGCTTTCTGGTATTTTTTTTTTTATTGAGCTCAGATCTCCTTTACTCCATGCCTTACAGGCTAAGCCAGATTCTGGTTCTTGATTTCAGATCTGGTTCTTGATTTCAGAACATAAAGGATGGAGCTGAAGAGACCTGACATGTTGGGCTATCATTTAAGTCACAAGTCACTGACGGATTCTCAGAAAATATGACTGAAGAAATTGTTAATGTTGAACTAGGTGTGAACTGTACTGTAGCTGTATAAAACCATTCATTCCATCATCATTTGTCACATACTAATTATAAAATACAATACACTATTTTCAGGATGTGGTGGCAAAAGAGGGGCGTCAGGTATTCCACTTCTCACTTAATCCTGTTGACTTTGAGGACATACGTTCAAACATGGATAAAGTATATGTTTATGAGGAGAGAAGTGTCTGTCTACAGGGCATCCGTGCTGTCAGGTTTCCACCAGCAGATGAAATTCAAACGGAAGATATTGGCATAATTGGGACGGACACAAATGAAAAGTCACTAGATAATAAACAAAACTTAAATGAAGAGATAGAAAAAACTAGCATGAATAAGAGAGATTCAGGAAAAAAAAGCTTTGAAGAAAATGATAAAGATGATTTCCAGCCCACCTCGGGTGCTAGGGCAATGAATGTAGAAACTAAAGATAAAAATTTAGGTAAAGAATTAGAAGCAAGGAAATCTGCAGAGCTTTCTGATGACAGAATCATGGTGGCTATGAAGGACCAGAGTCTTTTATTGGGTCGGGTGGATGCAGCCACGAAGACTAAGGTGTGCAATGAAAAGTGGACAGCCACACTGAAGAACCTCTTTCCTACTATCCCACCAGCCAAGGTGAACCTTGCTGTACTTAAGATGATCCAGAAACAGTCTTGAATGAAACCAGAACTTAGACCTAAAGTTTGTTTCCCTCCTGCAAAGAACTACTTGTTTCTTAATGAGTGTTTTACTTCCAGTAAAACTCAAACAAAACGAGACATTTTAGCGAGCAAGAATTAGTCTGCCAGGTACGTACACACACTATATAGATACTCGCCTAGTTGTACTTGCAGGGGTTGAGTTCTGGCTCTTTGGTCCTGCCTCTCAACTGGTGTACAGATTCCTGAACCTACTGGGCTCTATCATATCTACATTTGAAACCGTGTCTGGAGTCTGCCTCCACCACATCACTGCCTAATGCATTAAATGTTAACTATTCTGACACTGAAAAAGTTCTTTCTAACATCCCTGTGGCTCATTTGGATACTCAATTTCCACCTGTATTCACCTAGTTGTGCTTGCGGGGGTCGAGCTCTGCTTTTTTGACCTGCCTCTAAACTGTCAATCAACTGTTACTATTTCTTTTTCTCCACACACACATACAAGCCCATACCTTGTCAAGAACAAGAAGCTGGAAAAAGTTCAGAGGTATGCCACTAGGCTAGTCTCAGAACCAAGAGGAAAAGCTGCGTGAAATGAACCTCACGACACTAGAAGACAGAATAAGGGGAAACATGATCACTACTTACAAAATTCTCAGAGGAATTGACAGGGTTGAAAAGGATAAACTGTTTAACACGGCAGGGGGGTGGGGGGAGGGAATTACGCAAACAAGGGGACACAGGTGGAAACCGAGTACCCAAGTGAGCCAAATGGACGTTAGAACGAAATTTTTCGGTGTCAGAATAGTTAACAGATGGAATGCACTAGGAAGTGATGTGGTGGAAGCTGACTCCATACAGTTTCAAATATAGATATGGTAGAGCCCAGTAGGCTCAGGAATCTGTACATCAGTTGAATGACAGTCGAGAGGCGGGACCGAAGAGCCAAAGCTCAACCCCCGCAAGCACAACTAGGCGAGTACAAACACACTGTGTTCTCTTGTTCGTATTCCACCCATGTTAAAAAGTTTCTTTATCTATCCTGTTAATTTCTCCAAGAATTTTGTAAGTACTGTAGTGATCATATCTCTCCTAACTCTTCTGTCTTATAGTGTTGCGAGGTTCAGTTCCAGTAATTTTTCCCAATACAGTAGTTCAATAAAAAGAATAGAACTTTCTTCAGGGTTCTTAAGAATTTTTCACATGATTTGTAGGTTGACTGTGGCCTGTTTTTGTTTGCTCTGCATTCCATTGTGCTACTAATCCGCATTGAATTCAATTTCCCACTCTGTCTCAGTCTATGTATTGATTTAGTAAGTGGCTTTTATGTTTCGTTTGCCCTTTCATAAGATTAATTCACTTGCTGCAAATTACATTTTAATCTTTCCCTGTATTTCTTCAATACTGTATGTCCCTTCTTAGTCACCACAATTTCCTCTCTCATCATTATGTAATTTTCTTTCATTTTTATGCACTTCTGCTTCTCACACCTGCATATTTTTCTGTATGACATTTTGTTGGAAGACTTTCCACCACACCTACGACTTTTGCCACGTTCTTTTCTTTTGTGGCCTCACCACCACCATTTTCAAACCAAGAAAAAAAAAATTAAATATGATAGAATATAATGTACTACATGGTATGGCTACATGACATTAATTCAAAGTTGACCATCTTCAATCAAGCTCCTTAATGTAGATCATATAATTAAGATTACAGGAAGCATCCCCTGGTATCAAAATGTACAAATTTTAGTGCAGCTATACATATTAATTTGAAGATGTGTCTTACAGGAAGGGGAGGACCACAGCATTAGGATAACTGAAAAATTTATGATTTTTTTTTTTAGTCTTTGAACAGGATATATACGCATTTATACTTTATCCAGAGGGGGTCAGGCCCAAGAGCAAATGTACAACAAACTTTTACGAATACCATGGATATGTCTAGAAGATAAAATAAGTACAGTATATACTTTTCCTTACTCTAAGTGTTTTTAGTCCTCTTAAGATGCCATGGTTGTATTAAGTGTTTCTGTTGAGCTGATTATGTGCTCAGGTCACTAGAACCTGAGGCCTGAACCATGTACACCAAGCAGTAGCTATCCACACGATGTGAACATAGGGGTATAATCACAACATGTGATTTCGACATTGTATTTTAAAGTGTGTGAATATGACACCAGTGAATAGTATGCAGTAAATGTCCACTACCTAATTAGCTCCCACAGCAACCACAAGGATTCTCTGTTACCGCAAATAATTCAAACACAGCAACATACTAACACACCTTGCGCTTCAGAAAATACTGTAGGCTACCTTGATTTCAAGCTTCTCTGAAAATATCAATGGCAGAAAAGCTAAAACAATAATGTAAGATTTGTGTATGCCCACTAAATAGGCAAGTTACCAATTAGGTAATTTCAAAATATACAAGCTAGATCATGATACAGAATTTTTATTCTACTGTATGTATGTATACAAAAATACCATCTGAACTAAATTACTTTTGTAGTACAGTATTTGTAGCGGAGAAATCAGAAGACAAAACTTTCTAACCTATGAACCAAAATACTATACAAGTTATTACTTTACTAAAGAATAAATACTGTCCTACATATTTACATTAGTAATGATATAGGTAAAATTTTATTTACTCTTCTACACTATTAATTACAAAACATTCCAGATTTTTAGGTTTGGCAAATTAATTTTTTTTTTACTGTAGGTAAAACTGAACGAGCTTCCATTGTTACCTAAATAAAAATACAAAACCCTTAATAATAATGTACTGTAAATACCATACATAAAAATGACCCAAAACTGGATATTCAAATGTAGTATGAAGAAAAATTACATCTACATATATGTACTGTACTTTAAATTCAAATGCAGGACTGGAAAATATTTCCCACTGCAAAAAATCTATGGTTAATAACTTTTACTATATTAAATTTATATTGTCTATATATATATATATATAAAAAAAAAACCACAAATTGAATTTTATGTGGCAACCTTAACTCTTGCAGTATACATCATCTTAAAACTGATGAATGTGCAATCCCAGCACCATGTCCGAGTTAAATTACCTAACAGCAATGTTGATATCTGCAATAGGAAATTAATTCATCAAATATACTGTATTCATCAATTGTACTATATACAACAATACAAGAAATACATCCCCTAAAATTTGCCATTGGCAATTTTACCATTTACTGTATTGTAAAGAAAACATTAAAAAATCCCATATTTACAGTAGAGCTCATAACAAAAATCACCAATAAAATTGAACATTTGGTGGAACAAATAATTTGCTACCAAACACTTGTATTATCCGGATCAGGAGGCAGCCTCGATAAACAAGACTATCTTGGCAAAACAAAAATATAAAAAGCAATACTGTAATTAAACTGTAAATATTAAAAATCACAGAAACCTTCATAGATCTGAATGAATTCGGTCCCAAATTGCTTTGGGACTCTTGCCCCAGTGATGACCTCGAAAGGGAAAAAGTTAGCTTTGAACCTCCTGTGTACCCAGTTTACCCCAACTTCTGGACTCCACAAAGGATACAAAGCCCATACACTACCCGAGGCAAGTCCCCTCAAGACGAGGCAGCCTCAAGGGTTAAACAAATAAAAAAAAGAGCAAGAAAAAATTTATGATCTGCTGGAAATTACTTTGCAATATTTTGGATTCACTGTGGCTCTGGGCATTCAGATTTTTTTTCTCTTCGATATCTAAATTTTGGTGGAAAGAACCAACTGGCAGATTTATTATTATTTAAAGGAATTCACTATATGGATATTCAGAGTTTGGATAATTCACTGCATTGTACTAGTATCCATAAGCTAGATTTAAACAAAATATTAATTTATTCACAATTATCATGGTTCCCAAATTTAATTGGGTAATGAAAAACTACCACACATACAAAAGACTTACCTGTACTTATTTGTTAAGCTTGTGTCGCATCCTCTTGTGGCAGCTTACTTGCTTTGTCTTTGGCTTCAAACTTAGCTAATCGTTCCTTAAGGCAAGCAATTTCTGATTGCTGAGCTTCAATTGTTGCCTTTTGTGATTCAATACTGTGCTGCTGTTCTTTCACCTACATTGTAGAGAAGAACCAGCAAAACCAGGTTATAAACACTAAAATCCAATGAAAAATGTATAAAAAGAACTACAATATGCTTAATAAAATAAAAAAATAAATGATTTATGGATACAGTATGTCCTTTCTCGCTCTGCAATTGTAATTAACAATTATTCTTCAAGATATATCATTGATCTAACTGTACATCACACATTGTATACAGATAAACTGTTCAAGATGTTATGTTACACTGTACTGTATATCCAACTACCATCCAATAATTCCTAATAAAAAGCGATATATATTTTAATATCTAATAAAATAAACATTGAACTATACATACTCCATAAAAAACCAATGACTACAAAAGAAACTAAGTATATTTGTTCTACTGCTCTTAATTTGTTTGAGATGACTATTAAACATTCTAAATACAATACCAAAATCATAATTCAACAATGGTTTTGACTTAAGGTAAAAATTAAGCATTACAGAATTTTTTAAAGAGTATAAATCACCTTTTCTTCAAACATGCGCATGCGATCATCATCAACTGTCCTGGTGCCCAAAGTTGTTTTGAGATAATTCAGGGCATCGCTAGGCTTCTCAGTTTCTTCATAAAGACGTACAAGGGCATCAGTCAGTGCAGACATGACGCCCGATTTCTCAATGTAAGTACGAAACTTTTCTCGTTCGGAATCCATGCTCTGCAAAATAACCAACATTAAAAATCCCAGTTGTACATTGCTTTTCTTTAACCTTTGCCTAACAGTTTTACCTAATTTAAAATCCCATACTGTTCAGTACTGAAAAGTGAGAGTGTAGGGTGCACAATAGGAAAATAAAAATTACATTAACAAGTTAATAAAAATTGTAAATTGTTTAGTTTAAAAGATCAATAGACTCCAGTACCTTTGTACCACCTGCCCTCATGATGGGCAATTACCTAAGTGTAATTACAAGATGAGAGCTATGCTCATGGTGTCCCATCTTCCAAGCACTATCATATAACACTTTGAAATTACAAGTACTGTACTGTACTGACGGTTTTGGCTTCCACCACCACGTCACCTAACTTGGTCCAACCGTCTACCACTCTGAGAAAGTGAATTTTCTTATATTTCTTTGGCAGCTTTGTTTAGTTAGTGTAAATCTATGACCTCTTGTTCTTGAAGTTCCAAGTCTCAGGAAATTCTTCCCTATCAATTTTATTGATTCCCGTTACTATTTTGTAAGTAGTGATCATATCGCCTCTTTTTCTTCTATCTTTTAGTTTTGGCATATTTAATGCTTCTAACCTCTCTCATAGGTCTTGTCCTTCAGTTCTGGAAGCCATTTAGTTGCTATTCAATAAATTAAATTAAAATAGACCTCCCTTGCCCATTATACTCTTCATAAATGTTCAAAAAGTGATCAGCATGTCTGTTGTGTGTTTGCTAAATAAAGAATACGGTATACGGCTAGTTATCTACAGTGATGAGATTTTAAAGATGAAATTAAAGTTATGTTAATTAGGTTAAAGTTTCTATTTCTAGAATTAAACAGAGCCTGGTAGCTAGCAACAGCACTACAAGTCACCATTTAGCATATACACACTTTTCTGCAATATTCAAGTGAATTTCATAACTTTTGGGACAAACTGCAGCTACATTAATTTTAACATTACAGCACACATTGTATCAATATACTGTAGTGGTACTATTGTATACTATGTATACTATCAATATACTGTGAACATATATTGCAGCTATCCAAATAACATACATAGGGCAAGAGCCTCAAGCCAATATCGTTACATCACTGGTAATATCACACACGACAGGAATAATTCCAGCTGTTGAGGACAGCAAGTCTGCTAGATTTCTTGGGGTCTACCGAGGCCAACTACTGATTTTTCCCAGGATGCAACCCACCACAGTTACCTAACTCCCAGGTACCTATTTACTGCTAAGTGAACAGATATTAGGCAAAAGGAAACGCGCTCAATTCAGAGTCTGCAATGTAGACCATTGTGGTACTCGACCCATATACATTTTTTTTTTTAACAGCCAGGAATATCTTTGCATTTAATTCACTATATATGGAAAACCAGAGCTAAATAAATCCCTGTCACCCTATAACTTTACCTGCACAGGCTGACAGAGTGCTGTGCTGTCTGTATGCAGGCAAGTGCAGTGCTGCTTTCATGGGTTCAAGCTCATAGGGCACTGCACAGTTCAAATACAATTTAACAAAACGCAAATCAACGTAAGAATACATTTAACAAGTTTGTTAGTAATGTGACATCACTGACCACAGTCTGCACAGTATACTGAATAACAAAACAGGGAGCCTAGCACATTTATTTATTCTTTCACATAGTAGTGGGTGGTTGGAACAAGATAGGAGAAGGTGGTGGCGGCCACAACAGTCAGTAATATCAAGGCATTATATGTGTGCTGGGAAAAAAGCACACCATGAACGTAGCTCTCATCCTGTAACTACACTTGGGTAATTGCATAGTAATTCCCCTTGCCAATCAATACTAGTGTTATAATTTTTTTTTACCAGAATGCAACTATATTGTTGTTATATTGACCAAACCATATAATGCAGAACCGAGGGCCTCTACCAAAGATTGTCCAACATTTAATGGGCCTACGTGCAATGTTTCTACACCTAAGTTAGGGTTCAATATGGTTTCTTTCAAAAAGTTGTCCCAAAACACTATGCAAGTTTATGGCATGGTGAGAATTTACCAATAAACATATGGTCAAAATTTACAAAAGGTGTTTTGGCCAAAATAGTGTTCAAATTTCCAAAACTGTACTAGTATACAAAGTTAGGCTAGAATAAATTTGCCTTAGGCTGTGTTAGGCTCATTTGGGTAAAGTTAGGTAGGCTTTTAATACAACTTGGTGAACCACCTTGTGTACAGTGTAACTCGTATCCCATGGAATGGTCTAAATCTGCACAGACACGTTATTGTACATTGAGAAAGGTAGACCTATCTAAATAGATAGGTAGATAGGCATATTTTCTTATCACCTCTGTTGACTAAACAATAAAATAGGTACTGGGACGTTTAGCAAGTGTTGGTGTTGCCCCGTGGGAAGGGTCAGCAGGTGGCCTATGGCCTTCTTGCCACCAACCATTACCGTCGCCCTAACTACCAGCCATTAACAATGTAAAACATATTTCCTACGGATTATCGTTAACAATACATGAAAGCTAATGGAATATATATATCTAACACACATACATACATACATACAGTTATAAGGAATATTCTCAACTATTACCCCTAATAACGCTTTCAGTTAACGAATTACAAATTTAAATTTTTAAAACACCAGGACGAAGCCAGGCGTCCACCAGGACTCTTAACTAAAGCCTAAAAAGACAGCCTGGTGATCACAAGCAGGTGGTATATGCTGACAGAGTGTGGAGTGGTGTGGGTGGAGGCTGAGGGGACTATGAAGTGAGGAGCGACTAACCTTGAAGTTGATATTCCTGTCCATGTTGTGGCGGGCAGTCACTCCTGCTGCAGGTCCGGGGGTCTGGTGGTCGGGGTGTACACGTGCGCCTTCTCCTCCACCCGCGCCTCCCTACACCTAATTACTTCCTTTACACTCTATTTCGTATACAGAAACCCTTCTCTGTGTGTATATTTTATGTATTTATTTATTTATTTATATACAAGAAGGTACATAAGCAGTTGCGAGAGTACATTAGCAAAAGTTATTTACAGTTCTGTCTCTCTTCCTTTCCACTGTTCTCTCTGCTCTCTTTCTCTCTTATTCTCCAAATTGTTCAATATTTTAAAAGCTTCAATAAGATCCGCCCTGTCATGCTGCAGTGTAGTTAGCCCTATGGCCCCCACCGGTCCATAGAATTACCCCAATCACCCAAATCAGGCCAAAACTACCCAAAACGTATTAGCATTACGTAAGTAATGAAGAAATATGGTATATTTACTTACTATAATGTTGGTGCTACACGTAGAACATGATCAAACATAGTTTTTCTCTGAAATAATCTAATTTCATAACGAAATGAGACGTAAATATGTGAGAGGTGACGCCATAGGAAGTCGACGGTCCAAGCGACAATTGTGTGGAGCGACTTATCCAAGAAATATGGTCGCCAGGAGAGTGTTTGCTGCCATATCAGCCTCCTGTACACAGTGATCCAGTCCTTTTCGTTCATTGAACACCGAACCCTACACGCCCTCTGATATATTGCTTAATTAACAAATATTCACAAATAAAGATTATATTTGTATATGTTATCAGAAAGGCAGATATAAAATAGTTTTTGTGAATCCATCACAGAGATTATACCTTATTAGAGAGGAAAAATATTCATACTTTAAACAAGGCTTCATGGCCGACGCTCTCCTTACCGATATGGGAACTATGACCTTCCGAAGATCAATGTTAATTTAATCTAGATATTGTAATAAACGAAGTTTTCTATGTCATCATAAAGACATAAATATAAGCTGCATGTTAATACTTTGGCATAAATTTAACTGAATTGAAAGTTAAGATATATGCCTTTTTATAGTTACTTGATGGCTCGCTCAGGGAGTGTGAAGGCCTCCACACAAGCCAATCAATTTTATAATTACTTTGCATATATGCAAAGTAACGCCATAGGTCTTTATGTCAGAATAAAGCCATGTAGACGATAATGTAACTACATTTCAAGGAAAACATATCTTAATATAAATATTAAATGAATGTAAAGTTATGGTTAAATAAATAGCTAATACCACACAATCGCAGGTGTCTGGACACATGAATAGTCGCATTAGGTGAAAGGAAATGTACCCAACCATTTCCATTTACCCAACCAGTTTGTGCACCCTATACTCATCCTCTGTGCGGTAATTTATTGAGCATCCCATACTCATCTTGTTACCAGTAGTTTGTGCAACCCATACTCATCCTGTGACCCGTAATTTATTGTGCATCCCATACTCATCCTGTTACCGGTAGTTTGTGCAGCCCATACCCATCCTGTGACCTGTAATTTATTGTGCAACCCATACTTATCCTGTGACCTGTAGTTTATTGTGCAGCTAATACTCATTCTGTGAGTCTAGGACATTGCGCAACCCTTTCTCATCGTGTGAATCTTTGTTTACTTTGCTCTCCATATTCATCCTCTGCGCGATAGTTTCTTGTGCAACCCATACCCATGATGTGAGTGGTAGTTTATTGTGTACCCTATATTCATCCTGTGAGTATAGGGTTCACAATTCTTGTTTGGATTCTTGTAATGTTATTTGTCTATTTGTAGTCACAGTATTTGTGCGCCCCTTGAGGGACTTGAATTAGAGGGGGGTTGACATAGCCTAAGCTACTCTATCCCTTTGAGATTTATTTATTGCTTATCTCAATAAACATACTTGAACTTGAACTTGGGTACACAATGAGTTCATTTGTACTCCATACTCATCATCAAGAAGTGTATTTTACCAGCATTGTAATATAAATTAAGAATAAAAGCTTAACTGGATTACAGACCCATAATCAAAATAAGAGTCATCACTAATTATCATGACAAATTCTCTAGGCTACACTTCCGCCTTCGACAAGCTGCCGCCGGATGTGGGTATAGTTTATTGTACACCCCCGCACCCCCAGTCCTGGAAGGGCGGGCATTGGGATGTGGACATGTGTAAAATTATTCCCCCCCCCCCCCCCACCCCACACACACACACACTCGATCCTCTCCTGTTAATAATAATACTAATTAAAAATAATAACGTTAATAAATATTATAATTAAAACACTTACTGTAATACCCTAGTGCTTGAATGAAGGTGAAGGAAAGACCCAATAAATGTGTAAGTGTATTAAAAACCAAATTTTCGTTGGGTGAGCTGGCAGGTGAGCACCACTTGCCAGCTCACCCAGTAATGAACATCACCTGCACACTGCACCGAACCACTTGCCAGCAGGTGCAGAAGTACGATGGAGAGAACAAAGTATACCATATTTCAAGTATAATATTAAAGATATATTTAGGATTTAATGTTTTCGTATAAAGTTTCAATAATACCTTTATTTGATTTTTTTGTATTATTTTCTACCACAGACGTGGCCACACATTAACAATGCTAACCATCATATATACATTTTCTTCAGTCCGCCATGGACTCTAACCCTTTCCACTACCGCCCACAAGATGGGTATAGGGTGCATAATATAAGAACTAAACTAACTCCATTGATAGGGTTAGAGATTTGTTAAACATATAGTTCAGGGATTTATTGAACAATCAACCACATAAGGTGATTGTAGTGTTTTTAAAATGCTAGGCTAAGCTACATAGCTACATACGTAAATACATAAATACACAGATTTACGTATGCCCTACATAAAGTGTTCGATGTGTCTTTTACATAGTGTCATTAACGTGCATTTACAAAGGTGAAATTGAATTCTGAACACATACATACACATATATTTGTCTCTTTTACTCTGACAAGGTGAGATAACTGATAGAGAAACTAGTGTGCAATTAAGCACTTAATCACTGAAGGTGATTAAGGTGCTTTCACAAGCTCAGGTTATAGAGTTACATCACATACATTCATTGTATAATTGATACGTTACATCGTCAATCTAGGGTACAAGTTCAATATATCATCAAGTGTTCCAGTACTCAAATAGTAATTACACAGTTTAGCATAGCGCTTCATTCATGTATGTAAGAGAGAAGATTGTTCAAATATATTACATGCACATCCGGTACATCGTCCACCTTCTTCTACAGAACCGTCGGTATAGCACTGATACACATCGTTACCCATACTCTGAGTACTTTCAGTGATGCTTCATGTTACGTACCCTTATAAGATACGTAAGTGAATATATTAATATGTACATTTATAATTGTATGCAAATTACAAGCATGTATATTATTATACTTATGTTCTATACAAATGCACATTCATGTTACAGTGTTGGCGTTAGGCCCAGCGTATCGTGGGAATGATTGTTTATTTCTTTGTGTGATCAGTTTTCCCACGGGAACTAATAATTTATATGTGATCATAAGTGGGTAACAGTGAAATAATAATTGAGTGAACTGTATCTGGCAAATTGTCGTGGGATCGTCCGTTGCTGGGGTGTGCATGCCATTATGCTATTCTGTATGCATATTTTAATTACTATGTAAAGAACTATTACCTTTTGTTTGTGTATATCAAAATGTACTAATTATTCCTTAAGTTAGTTTAAGATTACTCTTGTCACAATGTAGTGCTCCATTGTTGAAATATTAATAATTGTAACTTTGGCAATTTATTCGCGGGGCGAGGCAATCTGTTTTGAGTCTCGCGTGATCTTGTTTAGTAGCTGGGCAGAAGCCAGGGAGAGAACAACATTTTGGAGATAAGTCATTCTTTTGTTCTATAATAGCCATACTTATATATTATTAATTTAATGTCTGGAAGTACAGTGATATTTTTAATGTGATATATATTGTGACCATATAATCATCTGTTTGCCTTTGAGATTTATTTAATATAATATTATATATGTATCTTAGTCTTTATTCTTCAGTCCTATGAAGATTCTATTTTATGCTCAGTACCTGTCAAGGGGTTATACTGGGGATTCGCTATTGAGAACAGCAGTTGTGTCGTATCCCTAGACTTATTAAAGTTGGCTGCTGTAGGATCACGAGCCGTAACGTACGATAGGTAACACTTCACAGTGTTAACTGTTTTAATAATGTAGAGTGTACATTATCTTTCTTGGGTGCATTTACAAAATCAACTGCAAGATCCAAGTTATCCCATGGAGTAATTGGTTGATTAATCGTTAATTGAGTTGGGTACACATTTAATATTTTGATGGAGTTGGCTACCTTGTAGAACCAAAATGCATTCACGCCGAAAACTGTGCTAATAGACAAAATTATGTTAGAGATATGGGTCTATAATTATCTGAGTGTGCTTTGGGGATGGGAACAATGACACTGTCCAATCATCAGGTAATACTCCTTCACTTAAACTCATTCTGTACAACACTAAAAGTGGATTACCTGGTACTTGTGAGACTAATCTCAGTAAACTGTAAGTAATACCGTCCTCTTCAGGAGCAGTTGACTTATTTGATTGTGCTACACAGCCTTCCCGGCTTGGTGCCTTCTTTGGTAATTACTTATCAAAGGCAGCTCCATACGAGGAGCTGCCTCGTATGGGCCAATAAGTCTTTTGCAGTTACCTTCATTCTTATGTTCTTACTTACATTTACTGAACTTTATCATCATCATCATCATTTACAGAAAGAAATTAACATAAAAAGTAGTCATTTTAATACACAAACAGAAGTAGATATTATGTAAATTATGATGCAGGATAGGATCACTATTAAGAACTTAATTATAAACCACAATATGTTTTATATCGTCAGAAATTCTGATACATACCATATATTTTCAAATATTTACAATTAAAGTATTTATTTAGGAAATAAGTATTTTAGTTACCCTAGTTAGCTCTGAGAACACACATTGTTGCAGCAAGAATTTCTTCCCACTAATCTGAGCGATGCTAATGACCCATTGGACTTGTCATGAACAACAATCAACTACAGCACCATCTATATCAGAAGATATTCAAAATATTCTT